ATGTAGGGCTTTGGCTGTTGTGTCTGTGCAAATCTAGACGAAGCCAGCGTGGAAGTCATGAGAGCATGGAAGTGGCCAAAGCAGTGGGTGAACTGAAGTAGTGAATGGGAGATGCCAGATAGACTCTATGAAGTTACTATGTTGTTTAACTTCTCCAGAGCTCAGTTTTCTCATCAATTAAATGCAACTGAGTTTAACCAAGCAACTAAACATGGAAATCTACTGTTCAACAAATACTTTGTTAGATAGTTGAATAAGATCTAGGTTTTCAAACACGGATTCCATTTTTGTCAAATGACATCTTATGCAACCCTCTTAAATGAATCAGACAAATGTGTAGCTGTATAAATTGAAAAAGGTATAAAGCCCCATAGCCCATTCTCCATTCTCAGTCCTGGACTTCACATGTAAGAGACCCTAGAACGCAGAGGAACACAGTTTAGATGTACTATACTGGGTGCCCCTTCAGTTTACTTCATGCTCTATGTGTTATGTGATTCTCTGTAACCCAGAAAAATTGGCTCCCACAGGGATTAAAGAACAAGCAATTTTAGGACACCTGCCAGCTGCCATGGAGGCTGACACATATTCCTTATCATCTAACTTAGGCAGCCAGGAGAGGCAGCTTTGGCTTAAAGTAAGATCTGTCAAGCTCAAGAATGTTTCTTTGGAATCACACTTACATGGTAGGGTCCTTGAAGTTGAATATCAGTCAAGCAGAAAAACAAGTCCACTCCTTTAAGAGAGTGCACAGCAAGCCACAAACTGGGAGAAGATATTTGCAATACTTGTATCTAAGAAGTTAATATCAAAATATATATAAATGGACTCTGACAAAGCCAAAAGAAAATGATTAAAAAAATAATTGTGGGCAAAGAAACTTGAATGCCACAGAAGATATGCAAATAACCAATAATGAAAGATGTTCAATTTCATTTCTCAGAGAAAAGCTCATTAAAACCACAATGTGATATCATGCCATACCACTAGAATAATGAAATTAATAATGATTGCCCTTGTCATGCATTGATGAAGCTAAGTACAACTGGAATTCTCACACACTGAGTTGAATATAAATAAATATAAATCAAAACAATGATTTTGGAAAACTGTTTAGTTGCATATTCTTTTTTTTTTTTTTTTTTTTTTTTAGAAAAAGTCTCACTCTGTCACCCAGGCTGGAGTGCAGTGGCATGATCTCTGCTAACTGCAACCTCCGCCCCCAGGTTCAAGAAATTCTCCTCCTTCGGCCTCCCGAGTAGCTGGGATTACAGGTGCCTGCACCGCGTCTGGCTCATTTTTGTACTTTTAGTAGAGATGGGGTTTCACCATCTTGGCCAGGCTGGTCTGGAACTCCTGATCTCTTGATCCACCCATGTCAGCCTCCCAAAGTGCTGAGATTACAGGCGTGAGCCACTGCACTCGGTCCCTAGAAGTATCTTCTAAAGCCTAATCTATACATGCTTTGACTCAATTTTTCCACTTATATATATGATCTATTGAAACACACAAATGTGTTGACGAAAAGAACATAAATGTTCATAGCAGCATTACCCGTATAGCCCCCAAATGGAGACAACCAAAATGTTAATCTACTGTAGAATGGACAGATGAGCTATGGAATATTGATACAACGAAATTCTGTACATCAATGAGCATGAACAACCTACAGCTGCATACAACAATATGGATGAATCTTATAACTGAAATGTCAAACTGTGCATAAAAGTGTACGTATTTTAGTATTTCATCTGCATACAGCTCAAAAACAGGAAAACATAATCTATATGATTAGAAGTCAAGATGATGGTTGTCTTTGGAAAGTTAATGACTGCAAGGGAGTGTGAGGGAGTTTCTGTGTGCTGGCATTTTTCTGTTTCTTTATTTGAGTGCTGGTTACATGGATATACTCACTACAGGAAAATTTACCAAATTGTACATCTGTGATCATTGCACTTTTTGCTTGTAGTTTATATTTTGAAAATGTATACACAGTTGCAAGCACACAGCATGCATACACATGCGCGCGCACACACACACACACACACATACACACAGAAATCAACTGTGTGCACAAGGTCTTTACTGTAGAGCTAAGTGCAAATCTTAAAATCACTGAGGGAGGGGGCATCACTGTTTTTCTAATTGGGGAGGTGTTTCAACAACAATGTACAAAACAGTTCTGAAAAACACAAATTTGATGGTTTGAAGTAAAAGAGTGTCTTATTTATGGATATGAGAAATTCATTAGCTAATTGAAACCATTTATTGATTCCTTAGATCAATAAATATTGATCTTTTAGTCTTCTTTTAGCATTATACTGGGTACTTAGGGTGATTAAAAATGAATGAAACAAAGATTCTGTCTTAGAGAGCTTACAGAACTATTGGGGGATTACAATGTGCATGCTACGGAACGTACTCAATACCATAAAAGAGGTACACAGAAAATACTGTAAGAGTTCAGAAGTGGAACAGGTCACTCATGGCCCTGAGACTCAAGGACAACTTCATGGTAGAGGGGCATTTTCACTTAAACTTCTGTCATAGTAGGTTGAGTTTAGCCGTGTGGAGACTGCTGAGTAGGACCAGCTATGGATCACGCTGAGACAGATAAATGGCTAAACTGGGGAGAATGGTCACTTCATCCAGAGCCACAGAGCTTTAGAGTGAATAGGTTTATTTATGTTTACTGTGAGTAGATTCATTTATTTGTTAATTTGACAAATGTTTATTGAATTCTTCCCATAGGCAAGGACTGGGGATATAACTATGATTAAGCATTCTGTTCTCTCTCCTCTTCTAGACTCTTGCAAGACTGAGGGAAGATAAATAAGGGAATGAGTATTTGCAAGAAAGCACGACACAGTTTATAATGGAGGGAAAGGTTCTGGGAGAGTCAGATCAGGGCTACACAACCCGTGAGCTCAACGAGGGGCTCCTAGAAGAAATGTCATGCCAACTAAGATCTGAATCATGAGGTGGGGTAAAATCAATACTGAATCTTAGTTGCCAGGTTGAGAAATTTGAACAGAATTGGATGTTTTATGTGCATAGAAATTTGAAGAAAAGAATGGCATACTCCAAACTGGTTTTTTAAAGCAGTTTAATCTTGCTGCTACACAGATTAATGTAAAAGAGGAATTAAGAAGAGGAGAGAACAGTTAGCATATTTCAGGTGAGAGACAGTAATGTGCTGAACATCTTTAGGAAAACCTAGAGAAAGTGATATATTATACTTGAGAGATACTGGAATGGTAGGCCTGAGAGAATGTGTCAACTAATTTTATTTTGGATTATTTTGGATGAGGAAAAGAAAAGCGATGCAAAGATTGTGAACCTAGGTAAGCTGTTTCATTTGCAAAGAGGAAACTCAAAGGAAGAGGCATGCCTGGAATAGTCGGGACACTGGTGGGGACTGCTGAGAGAAGAGAGATGTAAGACCTGCTTTGGATGCATGCATTGAATTTGAGATGTCAGAAGAAAATATCCTGAAATCCCGATAGAGAATTTTAGACAGAGTGTTAGGGTTTGAGAGAGAATGCTAGAGCTGGAAATACAGATTTGGGAGTCTTGAAAGTATTTATTGAATCCATGAAACCAATGAGATTGTCAAATGACAAATTACATTGAGAAAAACAGAAACAGGAAGCCAGTAGTGAGACCCAGGGACAGTGGCAACATTCAGAGGGGCTGAGAAAGAATGCAGAAATGACAGAGGAGGTGTAGGAAAGAGGGGGAAGGAGGAAAGTGCCAGAAAATCATCAGAGCAAAGTTTCAGGAAAAGAGCAAAGTGGCCCACAGTGTCATATGTGATAGGAGTTTCATGATAATAGAGACTTGCTTAAAAAAAATGCTACTGTTATATGTATATTGCCTTGGGGAAGGCAACATGTGAGGAGAACAGATAGAATTTATAATCCTTTATTTAATATTTCTCCCAAAGTCAGTTCCCTGTATACTAAATCACTAATAAGAGTTTAAACCAAGTGCTGTGACTATATTTTCACTACAGCCAAGACTTGAAAAACTAAACCATTTGAAAATGGTCATTTGGGTGCAAGGATTTTGCAGTTCTGCCTTGCTGTTTATAGAAAACAGCCCACTTTAATGCCAACCTAAACTAGAAAGGCAAGAAATACTTAAAAGCAAATGTCCTTGCTGTTTAAAAATACTTGTGACAGAATAAAATGAAACTAAGGGAAAGGTATTAAAAAGTACTAGGCGAAGGCAAACGATGCTAACTTTTTAAGCACGTACTCATCTCAAACAGATAAGAGAAACTGTCTATCTGTTGATGGTGGTCTCTTTTTTGAAAACTTTTCTATTAATATCTGAGAGCAGCTGACATATGTAAATGTCCAAGCATGTCCAGACTTGTCATTTCCTCTCTCAGGCAGGTGCATGCCTCATGTCCGTTCTCTCCTTAGGTAGAACTGTTTTACATCCTACTTGGTGCCGTCCTGCTGTAATTATCAATAGCGCCTCCTTCCACTTTCAAATATGTCCCTGAGCAGATGTGAAATGGTATGTTTGCTCTGCTTGTAGATCTCTCATATACTCAGCAGAAAATGAGAGTTAAATTTAGGGGCTCTGGCACCAGATGGATTAGAATTTGAATCCAGAATCTATCATTTTCTGACTTAGTTTTTGGCAGTGTTTGTTCTTGGGCAGCTTTTTAACCTCTGTGGGCCTCAGTTTTCTCAGATGACAAAGAAAAATTACAGAACTTGTTGAATAGAGTTATTGTGATGAAGTCATGTCCATAAAGGGTTGACATGTTGCCGGGAACATACACAAGCACCCAATAAACATCATCAATTATTATCGTTGGTATTGTCATACCCCATCTAGAACCCTGACGCAGACTGGAGTTAACTTTGAGCTGCTTTTGAATGCACTTCTCGTGTTCCAAAGGAGTGCCCTTTTCCCAGTGCCAGGACTTCCCTGCAGATGTCATTTCCCTGGTATGAGTGCAATAAGGGATGCCAGTAATAATCTTTCATCCATGTGGGTTTATTACAACATTGAGCTCACTACGAGCTATACAGTAATGAGCAATCACTCCTGGGCCCAGTCTGAAGACAGAGATAGAAGTAACAAATTATACACATACTAAAACTGTATAACCAGTGTTCTGAGCTCATACCATATGAATTCCTAGAGCATTTTGTTATCTCACGTGTATTATTACATGTGTAACAATGTGAGCCTTGAAAAAATACTTTTCTTTGAGTTCCATTTTGTGTACTGAAAGATGAATCTTGATTCTCTACCTTCCACCACTTCAGTGAGTCAGTGTAGACACGAACAATGAAAAATGGAACCAAATTATTTTGTGGATTTTTGCACTGCTTCACAAGTCAGAAAATCAGAAAATGCAAACTCTTCTTTTGCCAGGTGTAATTTTCAGTATAAGTTTGGACCACAAGTCTGGGTCTCAAAAACTGTATGGCAGAAGTAATCCAGTAATGTAGTCACTACTTTTCCTTTTTATGCCTTTTTCTGTAGATGGTCTTATTAGATTCTCTTCAGTTGATGAAAAAGTTAGGACATTAGAGTCGTGCTTAATGAAAGTATGCATTGCTTCAGTATCACCAGTTGGCTGCATCTGGTCTGGTTTTCAGAACTGTAGGATTGCATGGTTTCTCTGTATATCATTGTTTTTTCAGGATGTTTAAGTCTGTATATATTTGTGGTTTTATTTTTTTATGAGATGGTATCTCACTCTGTCACCAGGCTGGAGTGCAGTGGCACGATCTCAGGTCACTGCAACTTCCACTTCCAGGGTTGAAACGTTTCTCCTGCCTCAGCCTCCCGAGTAGCTGGGACTACAGGCATGCACCACCATGCCCAGCTAGTTTTTGTGGTTTTAGTTGACACGGGGTTTCACCATGTTGGCCAGGATGGTCTCAATCTCTTCACCTCATGATCTGCCTGCCTCGGCCTCCCAAAGTGCTGGGATTACAGGTGTGAGCCACTGTGCCCAGCCCGTGCTTTTAATTTCTGTCATGTCTCATCTTCATGGATGACATTGATGTTTGTGGGTGTTTGTGATTGCCTGTTAGAATGGCGAATGCAGCAAGTGAACCTTGACATGTTTTCTTTCTAGGAGTATTAACTCTGTTCCTGACTGGTTGCAGCTGGGTGGGGCAATGGGTGAACTGCCTGGGGTACCAGTTATAATAAAGGGAGGCTTGCAGGTCCTCTGACAGACACAGATTTCTGCTGTCTTTCCAGGGAGTCTCAGCTGCCACACACTCTCCTCCTCTCTCCATGTGTAAGAAATTTCAGGCCTAGAAGCAGATCACAGAAAGAAGCAAAAATCTCTCAAATTGCAGATTATCTAGACATATTTGCCAAACAATATATGATTCCCTGTTCAAAAGACTACAGCAACTTACTGCTCTGAGTGATACATCTTACCTTCTGATTGCCTGAGACTTGTCTGCCTCAAATGAAAAGTGCATGATTTCTCCCAAAATATTCATAAGCAGGGCAGAGAAGTAATTAGGAACCTATTATTTTGTCAGTAGGGACTGGAGTATGAATTTTAAGCTTGCTGCTTAGATAACTGCAGGTATCCAGTGTATCTGAACTTCATCTTTATAATTTAAATTATAATAGTAGCCACCACATAAAACTAATGGAGATTACATGAGATAGTACATGCAATGTCTGATTCTCAGTGTTCAATAAATGCCGGCCATTACTATCTGTTAGCCTTTCGTTTATCTGGAGCATTCGGGTTCTTCCGCCAGTATTCCAGCCTTGGCTGAAGCCGTGATTGTGATACATGGTTCTGCCTCGTTACATCCACCAGATTTCGTTGAGAATACAGCGCAGCACAGAACCTCTTCAGGCGACCACTGCCTCTGCCTTCGGAAATGTCTCTGCTCAAAAGACAGTGAAGGAGGGAAGGGCAGTGATAGGGAAGGAGCTAATGACAAGTTACTGAGCCAGAAATAAAGGGGTAAAAGGAATGAATTTATGGGCACATGAGTTTTCAAAACCTCTCAGCGTATCTGTGGAACTTTTTTTTGGAACCAGTACCATCTGTTTGCCGATGACTGTGACAGAAATGTGTCCATGAGTTTGGACCCTTCTTTGTCCCCCCCTATACACAGCTGTGCGGTATAGCCAGATGTTCTTGTGTTTCAGAGGCAACCACATCCATCAAGCTCTTTGCAGGCCTGGATCCTTCATGCTTGTGTGACTTCCTTTCTCCAGCAGTGAGACTGGTGCGCTTGTTTACCCACTTTTCTTTTTTTCCTTATTTTTTTCTCACGTTGCTTTTAATTAAATTAAAGGCCAGCACTGCCACTAATTAACCAAGAGTGGCACATTTGTAAACCTGGATTTGCCTGGTTGCCAGGAGAGAAAAATCCCTCCGCACTCTGCCAAAACTGTGTTTGCCGGGCACCATTGGTGTTTTGGCCATGCTGCTTGGATTTTGTCAGAACATAATGTAGCTGTGTAAAAGATGCCCTTCAGAGATGTAGCTGACTTGCCTCGTTCCCAGACTTAAATATGCTGCGGACTAATTAACACCAGCGTGAAAGTAAACACTCAAATATCGTTACCTTGCGGATAACAGCACACGAGTTTCTGTGCATGGGTTTCTGTCTCCTAAAAAAAGAATGATGATGGTTGTTATCACAGGAAGGGAAAATATCGGGAAAGAAAAGCATTGGCATCGGTTAACGGGCATTCTCTTGTCCCAGCTTCTAGCAATCTTAAATCTCTGGGGTAGAGCCATAGTATCGGGAATGTGTGTCATAAGCATTGTAAACTTGGACAGAGAAGAGGGAACTATGTGTTTGGGGGCAAATGTGCCATTAAGAAGGGTCAGCTTGCAGGGGTAACTTGAATTCATGCTGGAAAGAAGCATCTTTTTGCCTACTCTCTCTCCCTTCTGACAACAGAAGAGCTCCACTGACAACAGGGCCACTTGAATTCGGGGACTTTTGACTGAAATTGAGCTTATTGCTTGGGAACCGCCTGAGGTTGACACCTGGGCTGTGGAGTAAATAAACATGCTTACTTCTTCTGATCCTCGATCTGAAATGTCCAGCGATTCCAAGTGCCCAAAAGAAGTGAAGCTGAAGAGGAGAACAGAGACCAGTTTTAGTGAAAAATGGTTATTTTTACACATTGCGATGAAAGCATTTACTTTTTTCTTAAAAACTTCATTTTTGTCTGGAAGCACAGAATAAAACGTTACCTTTATATATCTACTCTGCAACGATGCTGCCCGTAGAACTCTGTGAAAATGGAAATGCGTTCTGTGCTCATGGGACCACTGAGCCCTTGCAGTGAGCTGCTATGACTGAGAACTACATATTTACTGTGATTTTAGTTAATTTAAATGTTAACGCTCACTTGTGGCTGCAGCTACTCTATTGGGTGGCATCGTGCTCTCCTCTACAACGTATGAACTGTGGCATTGTTTTTATTTTTGCAAACCTTTTTTTAATATTTTTAATTTTTTAAATTTTTCCATGGGTTCTTAGGGTACAGGTGGTATTTGGTTACATGTGTAAGTTTTTATTATTATTACACTTTAAGTTCTGGGGTACATGTGCAGAACGTGCAGGTTTGTTACATAGGTATACTTGTGCCATGGTGATATGCTGGACCCATCAACCTGTCATCTACATTAGGTATTTATTCTAATGCTATCGCTCCCCTAGACCCCACCTCCCGACAGGCCCCAGTGTGTGATGTTCCCCTCCCTGTGTCCAAGCATTCTCATTGTTCAGCTCCCACTTATGAGTGAGAACATGAAGTGTTGATTTTTGCAGCCCTTTTGGATGTTTGGCGTAATAGAAGATGGCTGATTCTCATATCTATTTCTGTATTCTGTTGTCATAATTTTTGCTGAAGTTTATGAAGAAACTCTGACCATACCCAGAAATATATTTGGGAGATATAAACTCAAGAATTAAGATTTGAAAAAATTAATAACATTTACTGTCTTATGAAAGTCTTGCTTTTTAGACAGACCTTACTCTGTTGCCCAGGCTGGAGTGCAGTGGCACACTCATGGCTCACTGCTCCTTCTACCGCTCACACAATCCTCCCACCTCAGCCTCTTGAGTAGCTGGGACTTTAGGCATGCACCACCATGTGCTGCTAAGTTTTAGAAGTTTTTTGTAGAGACAGGATCTCACTATGTTGCCCAGACTGGTCTCAAACTACTGGGCTCAAGTGATTCTCCCACTTCAGCCTCCCAAAGTGCTGGAATTATAGGCATGAGCCACTGCACAAGTCCAAAAGATGTTTTGTTTTTTTTTTTTAAATGAAATTGGCTTTAAAAAATACTGTTTAGTTCCACTGCCTTCATTCACACAGGCACTAGCAGTTTTACCAACCATTGCATTTGTACCAATAGTACAAATGCCAGTGTCATAAGTAAAAACAGGTCACATTTAAGTATTCTCTTATAAATAGTTTAGACTTCTCACGTTCTCTAAAAGTATCAGGAACCCCTAGAATTCTGCAGATCCCACTTTTAGAAGTGTTCCAGAATCTTCTAATCTGCCCCATCCTGCACTCCCCTCCTTCCCACCAAATCAAACTCACATACCACTCTTATCTAACACAACAACTTAGCTCTATTCTTGGAGACCTCGGAGCCAACCAATAACAAGGATCTCAATTTTCCCCCCAGGCAATTAACTTATATTTCCCAACAAACGTAAGTCCCACCTTAAAAAGAATTCTGGTGCCGTTTATAAGAATCACTATGTTCCTTGTTTACCCTCTCCCATACAAACATCTGTACATTTTTATTTCATCCCCAAGCTAGTACTTTCAACCTATCTGCTGGAAAAATCCACCAGGCTATGTACCTGTAAATAATTATCTGTTTCTTTGTTTCCTTTTTGATCTATTTCTGATGTAACACAGTGAGTTTCTTGCAAGAAAATAGAGTTTATTTTTTAAGTATTAACTGGATGGATAGGTACATGATGTACCAGCTGTGCCTATCGACTCCTCTCCCACACTGACCTGCTTCTCTTCTCGTTTCAGTTTGCTTAATGATCCTCCCTTCCACGCAGTCACTAAGAGTACTCATTTGAGCTAAGCATCATCTTTGAGCATTTCCCCTTCTGTGTATGTGAAAATCATGAGACATAGCTAGTTCTTAGAGGGAAAGAAAATGCATGACTACATGCCATTTGGATAGCTGGTTACCAGGCTGTTGTGAGTAAAGTGTCTGTCAAATGGTATTTTTAATTGAAAAAAGAATAATGGTCTCTTTTAGCTTTCTGGTTTTAAATGTAAGACTTGGGTGAAATCAGCTCTACTCATACCACCTAGCAATGGCAATGTGCATACTCTATTTTAGGAAATTGTCAAAAACTTTAAAAGGATTCTCACAGCTCAGCTCTATTTAAAATTCAAGAGGGAAAAAAATTTTTTTAAGTCAAGAGGTCTTCAGATGTCCTCCAAGCCCCGGTTTTCCTCACGCTAAGGCTTACAGAGCCAAACATTGGCAGAGAACCCATAACCTCACATTATGTGGGGACTCCATGTACCATATTTTAGCCACTGAATTCATTTCTGGACTCTTGTTAGTGACTGCCTGAATTCTTTAGGGCCTCATGGCAAAGTGGACTCCAGGGATTTTAACACATTCTGAGTTTGGGTTGCAAAGGAATCTAGAGACTGTTGCTTTCAGCTGGAGCCCAGAACAACTGACAATGAAGAAAGACTGCATTAAAAGCTGCTGGTGACCTCCTTAGGCAATATGGCTACTTTTGAAAATAAACATATTTACCTTACAATCACTTAGAAGAAAATTACATTAAGAGGTGGAGAAAACTGCTGTGTGTATAGGATGGTTCAGCTACAGATAGGAAAATCTAATCTTCAAAAGGAAGCACAGTATTGTGGTGTAAGAATTGGATCACAAGAGCTCTCTCTTTTCGCCCTGGTTTCATCCCCATCTAGTTGTATGAACTTGGACAAGTAATTGAACGTCTTTGGGTTTCAGCTTCTAGTCTATATATAACATGCGACATGAATTATAACTTTCTATGAATTCTTTGGCTTTCTCAATTCATATAACCCTTTGCTTTCCTATTCTGATAAACTAGTTACACCCTTGTAGCTTTGCCTTTTGGGTACATGGATTCCTAATAATTAAACTGAATTTCATTTTGCTTAGAAACTATTTACTACAATGCCGATTATAAAATGCAAATATGAGTATTCGTGTATAAATGACTTGCCTTCCATGTGTACTGAGGCAAGTGTAGTATTAGAAGCCTGGGGTCAAAAGCTCTTCATTTTTTACTCAATGGAATAACTTGTTTTGTCTAATACCTTGGTAAGATCTAGAATCAGCGTCACCTTATTTACAAAACATATAGATAGAAGTTACTTCTGAGCTCTCCGATTTTTCAGTAGCAGCCATTATTAGCAAATATAGATTCATAAATACAAGGTCATATATATGATTAAAATTTTACATGGCAGATACAAGATGTCACAGAGTGCATTATTTTCTAACTATTTTATTGAATGGGACATGATAAATGCCCAGTTATCTTGGCTAAGTTTCCCAGTGTCCGTGTCCACACGTAAATCATTAAGTACCAGCACTGAAAAAAGCTGCCTTCTAATAACTTTCCAGCTTCTCTGGGCTGGTTACAGGGAAGCACTGGCCACAACTGTAGTACAGGATCTTTCCTGTAGTTCATTGAGAAAGACGCACACCCTTTCTCCACCTAAATAGAATATGGTTTGAGCCTCAGTATAACCTTTCCGTTTGCAGTGGCGTAGTTTGATTACTGTTTCTTTCTTCGTGCCATCATTAGTGCTGTGGCATATGATCAAACGCTGGTGGTGAGGGGGAAGAGAGGGGTGTTTATTAGTCTTAGACCATACAGTGATTTACTCTGGAGCAAGTTAGCATGCTGGATTTGTTCGATATTAACGTGCATAGATTTTTTTAAATGCTGTAATTCCAAACATGGGGCTAATCCAGAGACAGTGGACTTTTGTCTAGGAAGCAGGCATTTCAAAATAATCAGCTGTCGTCTCTTAAGAGGTGGTGAAAACTGCCGTGTGTATAGGATGGTTCAGTTAGTTATATGAGTTTCTATTGAGGCTGCTTATCACATTGTAAAAATGCAATTTTAGCAACAAAAATTCTTAGAAATTAAATTTTATTGCCTTCTTAACAGACCTTCTGTGAAATGTCTTTTACTGAATATTGTTTTTTTGTCCTTGTCAGAAGACTGCAATTTATTCCTTACTAAACTGGAGGGGTATGATTCCAGATTCACCTATAGTGAGCTAATTGCTGATCCTAGTAAATTTAACATGGCCTCGTTAGTATCTACCCTCATCTTCAGGTAGCTGAAGTCTTCTAATGGCACATATTAAACTATAGTGGTGCAAACATCCTAGAGTTAAATGACCAGTGACAACCCATTTATTCACCCTTTATCACCTTCTCAAAGAATCCCAGTTACAAGATGTCATCATCCTAATCTCTCAGGATTAGCTTAAGGATGGCTGTTACCCTCTCATCTCTCACTCCCATCAGTTTTATATTTCCTTACCTAGAAATTTCAACCTACATTTTTAAAATGCCCTAAGTTTTTATATTCCCATGCCTTTGGGAAAATTGCTTCAAGGTGGCTCTGTGTTTTTATTTTGATCACCAAATATAAAGTCAGAGAAACAAGAGAAGCTAGAATGGAATAGAGGAGCAGCTAAGTTACTATTGTAGGTTACGTATCTGAATGAACTGAAGTTGGCGTAGTATCTAAATTTACTGAGGAGGGTGTGTCATTTAGAAAATTAACAAGAATTTTAATCTGGCAATGTCCCCTCAAAGTTTTACTTAAAACATATACTCCCACTTCCCTGTACGAAGCTACCTATCTTTTCTCTTTCTCTCTCATCAGCCCTCATGAGATTCTGCTTTAATTTATGTGACTAGCTTGCCAGCCTGAGCTAAGCAATGGCTGTTTCTTATACAGGAAATCAAAATAACATCAGAGTCACCTCAAACAATGTTTTTGAAATTCAAGTTCAGAACAAGTAGTTCGGACTTCACAAATACTTTTGTTTCACACTTGCTTTCCTTCTCTACTCCGTCTTCAGTGACACTGTGCAAAAGGGCAATTCCATTTCCATAGGGTACACTGACTTTGCAGAGCTGAAGAATAAAAAAAAGAAGAAAAGAAAAGAAAAAAAGAAACAAGAAGGCTTGGTTTGGGCCTAGGAACTAAATAAGCACAAGATAAAAATCACAGTGGGAGTGAGTGTCATTGAAATAAAGTGACTTGTTTTTATCGCAAGGCTATTTTCAGTTAAGTCCACTCCAATTCTTATCTTTATTCATCCTACAAGTTATAGATAATGCATGACCATATTAAAATTCTCTTCTTGGTCTGAATCTCCTATCTCTAGTAGACAAGCTGGGTCCTTGACAACTGGATTGTATGTGTGCTGATTTTTAAGAGACAACAACATTAAATCTTTAGAGTTGGATTTTCCTGATTATTTTAGACGAAGTTGTACACACTGCGCCGATATTACATAGCAATTTTAGAGAACCGTAATTGCATTAAATGACTTAACGTGATCAGTAGAAGCAGAAGGAATAGGTGATCTGGACTGTTTTTGAGAAAGCTCTTAATGAAGTATAATATGCATGTAGAAAAGCAAAAATCTTACCTGCTTAATTTGATGATTTTGAACAAAATAAACACATCCCTTTATTCATCAGACTAAGAAATGGAACATTAACTAGCACCCAAGAAGCACCCCCTCATGCCCCGCCCAGTCACAATCCCTCAAACAATAATCATTCTCATGACTTCTGACAACATAGTTTAGCCAGTATTTGAAATTTACCTAAATTGAATTATACAGTGTGTATTCTTCTGTGTCTGGTTTCTTTCACTCCGTAGTGTGTACAGAGATTATTCATGTCATTCACACATTCTCATGGCTTTATTCTAGATAGCCACAATATTTTAAATGTCTATTGATATTTGTGCTCTTACAAATGGTATTATGATCAACATTGTTTAGGACCACATGCATATGTATTTCTGTTGAGCACAAATATCTAGGTCATAAACTGTGTATATTATGTATTTTGGTGGTCACTGCCAAACTTTTCAAACAGCTGTACCAATTTTCACACTCATTCGAAGTGTATGAGGCTTCTTATTACCCTACATCCTTACAATCTCTTGATATTGGCAGCCTGTGTTATTGCAGCCAATCTGGTTGTATTGTAGGAGTTTTATGTTTTAGTTTTAGTTAGAATTTCCTTAACAACTAATGAAGGTAGATGTTTTTCATATGCTTATTGGCCATTTGGATGTGCTTCTTGGAGAAGTGCTTGTTGAAATTCTTACCTTATTTTTCTACTGACATATCTTTGTTACTGATAGGAGTTTGTTATATATTCCCAATATAATTCTTTTGTGTGTGAATGTGTGTGTGTGTGTGTGTGTGTGTGTGTGTGTTTTGCCAATGTCTTCTCCCTTTCTTTAGCTTGCCTTACCGCTCTCCTAATGGTATGTTTTAATGAAACTGTTTTAATTTTAATTCATCAAAACTTTACTTATAATTAGTGATTTTTGAGTCCTGTTTTAAAAAATCTTTCTCTCCCCAAGTTTCATGAAAATATTCTCTTCTAGAGGTCCTAGGGTTTTACCTTTTACATTCAGATCGATGAGCCACCTTGAATTATGATTTAAATTAATCCTTCATCTATAAATATACATCTCAAATGACATTATTTATTGAAAATACAGTATTTTCCTTCACCGCATTGCAGTTACACTTTGTTACGCCCCAGGAGACTGTATGTTTGCGAGTCTGTTTCTGGATTCTCTACTCTGTTGTATTGGTCTTATCACTGAACCAACACCTCACTGTCTTAATTATGAAACTTGGGAGCAAATCTTTTTATCTAATAGTGTTAGTGCTCCCAATTCGTGTTTCCTCAAGCTAGCCTATCATTTGCATGTATATTTTAAAATAAGCCTGACAGTCTTCACACTCCCACCCCACCATTGCAACAACACAATGATAATAACAGCAGCAGCAAAACCTATTGGCATCTCGATAGGAATTGTGATAACTGTACACATTAGTTTGGAAAGACTAGAAAACCTTGAAAAAAATGTGTCTCGGCAGGGCGCGGTAGCTCAAGCCTGTAATCCCAGCACTTTGGGAGGCCGAGGTGGGTGGATCACGAGGTCAAGAGATCGAGACCATCCTGGTCAACATGGCGAAACCCCGTCTCTACTCAAAATACAAAAAAAAAAATTAGCTGGGCATGGTGGCGCACACCTGTAATCCCAGCTACTCGGGAAGCTGAGGCAGGAGAATTGCCTGAACCCAGGGGACGGAGGTTGCGGTGAGCCGAGATCGCGCCATTGCACTCCAGCCTGGGTAACAAGAGTGAAACTCCGTCTCAAAAAAAAAAAATTGTGTCTCGTGAATTTGGAGTGGACACTAGTTAACCCACCATACAGCTATTAATCATTCTACATGCGCTACTGTTCGCCCCCTTTCTATGATTGCTTATAGGCAATTCAGCAACCTCTAGTATGTTAACCTTGAATATGATTACTGCATATTCCAGATCCTGGCCCCCTACCCATCTGACTGTAGATTTTACAGAACTGCAAGTGAAGCAACCCTTGTTTTGACACTGTCAAGTTATAAAATGGCCATCTCTGGGGAGCAGGTTGCTGTCAGCAGCTGGAATCTTACTACTATGGCCAGAACTAGGACATAATTCATAAAATGTACACTTTACAATTCCTCCCCTGACTCTAAGAATATTTTTAGTATATAATGTAAAAATATTGAGTCTTCAGTCTATAAACATGGAATATGCTTTTATTTAGAAGTTTTTATGTTTGTCTGAATACGTTTCTAATTTTCGGTGCAGAAGTCTTACACATCTTTCCTAAGCTATTGTAAACAGTACATATTTTTAAATTTTAATTTTCTACATGTTTGTTTTATTTGATTTTTTTTTTTTCCTGGATCTTATCACTGAGGTTTGGTCAGCTGTAAACTACACCAAGCTGAAAGCAGAAACTGAGACCTACTTAGATCATAAGTAACTATTATGCTGACAGAATTCCCTTTGCACATATAAAAAAGAAAGTTGTTCTGAGGAAACACTAGTTATATTTGATCTGTAGTGACCCTAAAGGTGACTATGAGAAAGAAAATTAGAAGGGGAGTTTGGGGTTTTGTTTTCTTTTCTTTTTTCTCAGTTCTGAGAATCTCTTTTACCATGAGACTGTGTCAGTGCCTTCTCAGTAAAAATCACAGTAAAGGGTTAAGTGGACTAAATTGGATTTATATTGGCTATGAAGGTGCAATAAATGGACACATAACTACCCCAGCGTGCAAACCTCTTCAGTGTAAATGAGCCAAACTGCTAGTTATTTGTCAACTGCTCCGTCATTATCCTGTGCGCACCCACCCCTAACAGGGGCTGTCAGGTTCATATGTGGCTTCTATGTTGTGAGTTGTTGTGTCTCTCCTTTTGAGTTCCTGTCAGTTGTGGATCTGTCTGGTTAGGAGATCAGAGCAAGGAAAAAACAGTACAGTGATTGACAGTGATCAGAATGGGGTGATGGAATGTGGGGCGTAGAGAGAAATGGAGGGAAGATAACATGGAAGCATAAAGAATAAAAAAATTGTATGCCATATGGTTGAATTCATCTGTCTTGTGGCCTGATTGGTAGGCCCCACATTTAAAAAATAAAAATCCTGTTACTATTTTCTTCCTAGCAAATGCACATGGAAAATCAGTATAACACAGCCAGTAAAATAAGTCTCAGCTCAGGGAACAACCCTTCTTTAAGTCCACAAAAAATAAATTCAATATCTAAATAAATCTTCACACACTTTTACATATACTTCCAATAATAAAAGCAAATATGTGAGTTGTATACTTCTCATCTGTTGGGGAAACTGAGAATCAAGGAATTTAATGACCAACAACTTGAGCTAAATTCAAGGACTTTTAAATCATGCTTTAGAATTCTTTCTACAAAACCGTACTGATATGATAATTTTATTCCTTCCAGAAACACCTCTTGGCACCTTAAATCATAAAAGTAATGAACTTAGAGTATTTCTAAAGTGCATCAAATTTCTGCTTTTTTTTTTTTTTTTTTTTTTACATTTTATGCATTTGTCCACCTTAAATATCTCATCAATATTTTCATTAGAACCCCCTTTGGGTAGTTATCTTCCCTAGGTCTAGCATTGTGATTTTTACCTTGCCTCAGGTAGAATTATCCACAACAAAGAAACAGCAGTCCAGCAGTATGGAGGGCATCTGTGGCTCTTTTTTTGACAATGGATCATAATTAGTGGTATAAGCAATATGGTTGATTCGATCCAAAGCAACTTCTGAAATGTTAAAAAGAAAATAGCAAAACAATCAAAGTGAGCAAAAGCACAGCCATAATTGAGAGCCATTCCCTAGATTCCTGAAGCATTGAAACCTAACTGAAAAGCTAAGAGCCTCTTCACACCAACCCACATTTTGTTTTCCCTCCCTTACTGCTTTCATTTCTTTAGTTTTTTCTAAAATTGAATTAACTAATATTCATTGGCCCACCAGCCATAGAAAAGCTAGGATAGGAAACAGTATAACAAAAGGAGAAAAAAATAGACCAAGTGATGAGTCTGGACATGTGATTTTTAAGTTCCTGCTTATATCTTATAGTTGTGTGACCTCAATCACCTCTGAGGATCAGCTACTTGCTCAGAGAGTGTTTGGGCCTGATGTCATCTATGTCTTCATTAGCCCAAAGGTTACTCTCATCTCAACCTAATGGGGAAAGAGGAGACAAAAGCACAATGACTTTAAAAGACCTTCCAGTAAATTGCCTCATTTGGGCTTATTTTCCCATTCTCAAAGGCTGGCAATGAGGTTTAAAGGCTACGTGTAGACTGATTTGGGAACAAAAAGATTTTGAATGTTTATATTAAACTGTTTGAACTATTATGAGGGATATTAAAATGTCTGTGACATAGTCCATGGTATAGAGGAGATTTTTCTTTCAATGGAAAAGACATTCTATACAAATACATAATAATGTTTGAAAAAATCTGAATAAGCCTAAATGGAGTGCTAAAATTACAAAAGTATAAGCATTAGATGCTATAGAAATTCAGAGATACACAAGACACATCTGGAGGAGCACTGAAGATGATCTTGAAGGAGGGGCTTGGGGAGTGGACAGATTTGGATAAGCAGATGTATATAAGGAGGTGCCCATTTTTTGATGAGAACAACATAATCAACTGAATACAGAAATGCAAGAGGAGATATCTTCCAGGAATAGTGAGAAGAAAGTCATATTGGATCAGAGGACTGTTGGGAGGTAGGATTGGAGGCGGCAGGGAGTATCCATATTTTATAGATGATATTCAGGTTGAAGAAGCTGGACTTTGATAGTTCATGAGGAACTAGCAAAGGGAAGGAACTACAGAGGGAAATTTAATCACTTAGAAAGATAAAACAAAGGCCAACTGGAAGACTTGATTAAATGAGAGAAGACACTAGTGGCAAGGAGTCAAGGTAGATTTTCATGCAACTGCCAGGTGTAGATGAAAACCGAACACATTAGAAATGCAAAAAAATCACCAGGCATGGTGGCTAATACCTGTAGTCCCTACTTTGGGAGGCCAAGACAGGAGATCGTTTGAGTCCAGGAGTTTGAGACCAGCCCGATCAACATGGTGAAACCCCGTCTCTACCAAAAAATACAAAAACTAGCCAGGTGTGGTGTTAGGCGCCTGTAGTCCCAGCTACTCAGGAAGCTGAGGCACGAGAATCACTGGAACCATGAAGGCAGAGGTTGCAGCGAGCTGAGATTGTGCCACTGCACTCCAGCCTGCGCAACAGCGAGACCCTGTCAACAATGGCAACAAAAAAGGAAGACATGAGAAAAATCCAGTATTGTCCAGTATTTGGGGAACTTCTTCAGTAACTCTCTTTTCTCCTTTCCCTTCCTGATCTGAATAAGTCTCTGGGAAATGAGGTCATATAGATAAAATTGCATGTTCACTCATCAGTCCTAAGAAAGCATCCTAGCCCTTAGTGGTGGTCTTTGGTTAGATGATATAGAATTGATTTTGTAGCTTGCTTCATGGAGGCCACTGGGAACATTGTTCTTTGAGGTGACCTTTCTTGTTCACAGGATTATGAAGACATGACCGAATCCCCATCCTTAGTTCAAAAACAAAACAAATCCTCTTCATTACTTTGCTGGCTCTCTTCCCTTCTTGATCTCAGCCAATTTTTTTTCCAGGGTCTCCTATCTGCTCTCCTCCCATGACTGATATTCTTGGATATTTTGTTCCCTTGGAGCCAAAGACACACTCTTTATGTGTGTTTCATCAAAGTCACTCTGGACTAGCTGTCTATAGACCAGGATAATAATTCCACTATCTAAAGGAAAAATGTCATTTTACCACAAACACTCCCATGATGATTCAGTCCTAAGTCTTGCCAGAGAGAAGGCTACGCCATTTTTTTTTTTCTATCCCCAGCACACAGGCTGCTGTGAAGTAGCATCTGCTGTCTAATTCTTTTCTATATTAGGATAAAATGCTTTTTGGCTTGCTGATTTCAGGCCCTTAGGAAAAGAGAAAACAAAGTTTCTCATAAAGTCTTCATTACACAACCAGTTGGTCTGTGTCCTGGGAACCCCAGGCATGGACTTGTGGACCGAGCCACAGGAGCCAATAGCTCAGAGATAATCGGGTCAGGAGCTGGATGTGATGCGCTTGCTCTGGGGGTACAGATGGTGTCTATTTAGCTAGAATTCTTCCACTGTGACTGCCTTAACACCCAGATCATTTTAACTGGCTTCTTATCACATTTGAGAGAGCCAGCATACTTTTCCTAAAGACTAACTAGATAGAGAGTTTGGTTTTTACAGTTCTAACAGAACGAGGCAGAGGAATAAAAATCCACGTTCACAGATGAATATGTCCTTGAGAATGTATCTGGAGAACACCTGAGGAAAAAGTATTAGAAGGTTGTTTTCCTACCAGTTCTTTCTGAGCCTCTTCCCTGCAGGGCTGCTTTTGATGAAGACAAGGGCATGCTGTTCCCATGAAGACTCCCAAGCCAGGTTGGGGCATGAGCCAAGGGAGGTGGGGCTACTGAAGGAAGCATCACCTGTCGAAGACTGTTGGCCTATCTCATGAGAAGGCTGGATGGGAAAGTCTAGGACACACACCTTCTATTTTGCTCTCTCCTCTCTAACTCTGGCTTTCTGTATACCAGTGAGCTGGCTCACACTGCAAGTACTGGCCATCTGCACAGCATCCCTGGACACATTCAGAAGTGAACTAACTGGGAGGCCCAAGCTATCTGCTGGGAAGCAGTCACATCCACAGGGCTGTATGCTGTGTGTGTGCTTGTAATATAATAATCATTAACATTATTGTTGCTGTTATTGTTACGATTTTCCAAACTGGCTCATTTTTATGTTTTTCCCGTTACCCTCACCCTCGTGGACGTAGGGAGATACTTAACATGCCTTAAATTAGCATATTTCATATGTCTTACTACTTGCAATTATTATTTCAGGACCATAAAGAATGCAGGTTCCTTTTCTGTCCAGTAAAATATATTTCAAAGCCAAAGAGAGTCATATCACAATGAAAAGGACAAATAGTTTTAAAAAGTCAAGGTGATCAAGGAGGAAGAGTATTTACTAAGTGATAAACATTTGCTTCGTAACAAAGCCCAGGCTTCGTGCCTTAGACATAACATTGTTAAAACTCTGTTCTCAGAGTTTTAACAATGCAGCTCTCACAAGATTTCCCTTTGGTTGTAGGCAGTTCACAGATTTTTAGCTTCTTACTCTTTGGTTAGGGTTGATGGGCCAGGGAACAGTTTTTATTAGGTTTCAACGCATCTGCGGTGCTTAAATAAGAGACTGAAACAGGCACTTGTTCCATGCTGTAGGGTGATAAGTTGCATTAATTTTTATTTTAGGCTGTCTCCAAACATGGCTTTTATAGACTAATAAAAAAGCAATTTTTATAAGTTCACAAAAAACAATGAGCACAGTCAAGCATAAATATCTTACAACCAGGGCCAGAGGAAAATTATGAACTAAAAAATCTGCTGAAAGAGGCACAAAATGCACAATTCCTAGATGCTGCATTCTCGACGTAAATTAAACTCTCACCTAAAGGAAAAAGCCTGTAAATGTAAATTTCCACTAGTGTTTCTTCCCTCTTCTTATCCTGCTGTAGTCTGAAACTCTATCTCCCTACCCTTCCCTAATTTATATCCATCATACTCTTAAGATCAACCTCAGATATTCAGCTCTTTGGAGTTAATATTGCCCATTAATGCCAGTCTTCTTTAGCATCCCTGTAATACTTACATTTTAATATTTTGCTTTATATCAATCCTTAAGGCATTTGCTTCGCAAAACAAAACAGGATTGTTAGCTTTTTCAAAAATATGGGATGTGTTTTCTTTCTTCAAAAAAAATTCTGCATGGCACCTAAGACCAATGGTTGATATGTGCTAACTACTTATTGCCACGGTTATTTATGTGATACAAAGGCTATCACCCAGTTAAGCTAAACTGCCAATTCCCCCCACCATAATTATCCTAAGATTCTTATCTAGGAATCTCATAAAATAAAAAGAATATAACTTCAAGGATTCTATCTTTTCTTTCAATGGATCTTATCAATAATTCAGGCCCAGAGCAATTAAAAGTATCTTAGATTTAAATAAAATGTGACCTATCCACAGTTGTTGACAACAAATTCTAATACTTGCAGGTGTTTTAGCAAAATTCATATGGAATGCCAATGCCAGAGCAGGAACCAGCGCAGCCTTAATTGGTTTAGGACTCCGCCTGATTTTCTTTTTTTTTTTAACCTCTTAGTCTAGATTCACAGTTGCATTTTAATATTTTGCCTTCAATGACTGCGGAAAATCTTCACTTAGTTGACAAATTTGCATTTCCATATGGTTGTTCAGAATATTCTGGGAAAAATTAAATAAGAAATGTTTCAGTAAAATTACTCCATTGTCATATCTCTGGGGAGATGTTTTTAATATGGGCAGAATCTATCAGGCAATAACAAACTTAAAGTATATTTCGAATAGCTACCTTCCCAAAGCTTTATCTGAAGGTTTTAAAATAGTGGTATTACTACGTTACTGTACAATTTAAAATGTGTATGTGAAATACATTATCTCAATTAATATTTAATGTACATACCAAAATGAATTTCTCAAAAGCTAAAGAAAAAATTGTGACTTATTCAAAGCTTTTGTTTACTTACTGCCAAATGCCTGTATATTTGCAAACTTCCAGATGACTAACAGCAGTTTCGACTTTTGATTCTGCCGGTCTTAGGTCACGTGATCACCCTTTGCATTTCGAACATAAATCATTGCTTTTCTTGCTTCTATAAACTTCATGTTCCAGCCACACTATTAGCCTGGCAGAAAATTTTTTATTGCTTTGATACTCCATGCAAAAAACGGCAAATAAGCAAATAAACAAAATATCCAGGAACCTTACTATATAACCTGTTAGCTTAGATAAAGCATCTTGACTTTCTTAGACCTGTAGGTCCGTTAAGTTTTCCTAAGGTAGCTGTCAGTGTTAAGGTGCTCACTGGTTTGTTTGCTTGTTAAAAAACTAGAAGCCGTACCTGGAATTGAGCTGGGAATATAATAGGAATAGAAAAACCATACTGTGTTTTCTACTCGCACACCTAATTGACACTTCTGTGACCAGGGGCCTGTGAAGTGTCTCTCATGCACCAAGCACTTCTGCAATGGATACCAGCTGGTGTCCTCCAGTTTAATTCAGTACTGACACAGCTACCTGGAGTTTGCATCAAATCCCACAGGTTGAGGTCTCAGTCCCACAAAACTGCCCAAACTTAAGATGCCAATTGTATGCCCCAGGTTGTGACCTGTGCTACTGACCAACTGGCTATAGAGTAGAGTCCCATGGCCCCTTCCTTTGAGTTCGATTAATTTGCTATGGTGTCTCATAGAACTCAGAGAAACACTTTATGTTTACCAGTTTATTAATAAAGGATATAATGAAGAATCAGATGAACAGCTAGATGAAGAGATACATATGGTAAGGTCTGGACGAGCCTTGAGTGTAGGATTTTTCATCCCGGTTGAGCTAGAGTGGGTCAGCCTCCTGGCATGCAGTTATGTTCACTAACTGAGAAGTTCTTTGAAATCAGTCATTTTGGGATTTTATGGAGGCATAATTACATAGATATGATTCATTCAATCATTGGAATTAGTGATCAACTCAACCTTCGGCCCCTGTCTTCTCCTCTGAGGTCCAGGGATTGGGGGACAGGAGCTGAAGTTTTCAATATTCTAATCATATTGTTGGTTCCTTGGCAACCAGAAAACAAAAGAGACTCCTCACCCAGGAAATTCCAAGGAATATAGGAGCTCTGTGTCAGATGCTCCTATCAGTCAGAAAATTACAAAGGTCTTAGGAACTCTGTGTCAGAAACCTGAGTCAAAGACTAAATATTAGAACAAAAATTATCCTACCACCCCTATATACAAGAGTTTTAGGAGCTCTGTGTGCCAGGAATATGGGGCAGAATCCACATATTTGTTTCTTATTATGTTACAATATCTCCAGGTCCTATTTGCTAGGTAATTCATTCTATATGGCCCCTTTGTAGTGGGTGTATTCTTTCCTGTGAACCCTTTAGCAGAAGTAAGTATGTGAGAGATGGAAGAATTGGAGGCTCTTCTATAATTTCTCTAGAGGAGGGATTTGAGGTTTAGAACACTTGCCTGAAGGCTGGCTTTACCTAGCAAGAACATTGTTTTACTTAATTTCTTATTATTTTGAGAAACTTTGGAGAAATTTCTAGAGATTATAAGAATAGTTCATGTTATTTAAAATGAAGCTAGCAGCTGAAACTAACCAATTCGAAACTCATTGTCTTCGTACAATAAAAATTTACTTCCTATTCATATAACCTACTGCATATTCCTGGTCAGGTAGCTTTTCTCAAGTACCATGTCAAGCTTTCTCATCTTCTAAATACCCGCCTTAGAGGTATCACTGATGACTATGAGATTCTCTGAAAGCACATTCGTCCTTTGTAGGGATCAGCAGCTGCCAGGGATAACATTGAAAAGATGGAACTCATTGTGCGCAGGAGTTACATTTCAAACCTTCAGAATGTAGCCTTCTTATTTCCTTTTTCTCTTGGCTTGATATTGATTTTCTTCATGCCTGAATGGATTTTTAATCTTTCCAAGGTGGAAGTTCATATTTGCAACTTTTATTTTTTAGTTCAAAAGAAAATGAAAGCGAAAAATGTATGATTAATTTTCAAAAAACTAAAAAGGTTAGTTCTTTCCCACCCCCATATAACACAAAAAATGAATGTGCTAATTTAGCTGAAATGTTATGAAATATGTACTGTTGGGTAGAAACCAAGTATGGAAATTCCATAAACATTTCCCACTGTGATATCTCTTCGGAGACACCTGCTCTCTTCCTACCAAACAGATTTCTATTTCAATAGTAAAAATGTAAATACATTCAACATCTTTAAAAGAAATTCACCTTTCCAATTCTGGGAACCCTTAGCTCTCTAAGCAAGTTTTATGATCTTTCGCACCATCAGACATGACTCCACTCATGGATCAACACGCCGTACACATTTATATATGAAAATTCGTGGTAACTCCCAGAATTCTATCATTATCCTCAACTACAAATTTCAGTCTACAGTTACAATTTCATTATAGTTTTAAATGTTCTTCTCTAAATGCTTTTAAGCAACCAACTAGCCTTATCAACACTACTGACTCTTAGTGAAATGATTAGTGGAAGGATAATTGCATGTCAGATGTTGTGTAACTTTTTGAAAGCCAGTTTCCCACAGCATTTTAAGTTCTTGAAATTCCATTGATGATATTCTCACACTATTCATGCTCAAAAATTCACTGGCAACACACATCTGTGTTTACCCTTTCAATCATGATAATGTCCACAATACTTTTCATATTCCTAGAGGATTAAGTAATACCTCCAGAATCAGAAGACAAACATGACTTATGTTGGACTTGAAATCATTCTACCATCCATAATAGGAAGAGTCTAAAATTGGAAGACACCTACACACAAGAAGCAGAAGATTGTCATAACTGCCTATTTCTGGCTTAATAGCAAATTAATATAATGGAAAGATCTGTAATGTAATGACAGAAAATGCATAATCCTGGATATGGATCCCTTTTATTGCTCTTTATCTGCAATCCAGATCAATTCTGTTTAAACTGGAGAATTATCTTCAATATATGGAATATGCTGTTGTTCATATTGGTACTTTTTTCACAACAGATACACATGGAAGCAATCACGGAATGCGGGAAAGATATCAGTCTTTCCTTACATCGCATCGAGAAAATACTTGACTCCTCATTACCCTTTCTAAAAGGTCTTAGGAAAGAAATATAGGTACCATAAGGTCAATTTCCCACAACTCTGGGGTATAATCAGAATTTAAAAGAAACAGAAAACTCTTGAAACCAGATATGCTCAATGCACTTGCCACCACTCTTATTCCCACTCTCTTGGCCAGTATCATTAATTGATCACATTAGTCTTTCCCACTGGGGCCAGATTCAGGCACAGAATCTAGCTCAATGTACAGCGTTAGCTATCAACTACCAATTAATAGTTGAGCTAAGTTGTAACTCAATATGAAAATCTATTTGTCATTCTTGACATAGATGATCCCTGGGTAAAAATTAGAGCGGGAGAAAAGCTACACAGTCATGACCTTGGAAATCCTCTCTGTAGATTCAAGTGTTCCTATCTGCAATAAAAGCTGCTATTTACATTATTGCTGAGGCTATTTTCTTCTGATACGTTTTTGCCTTGGGAGGCTTGTGAAGCTTTTCTGGCAGGCATTGTCTGTCATGACCATATGCAGGGTATACAGAATGATAGAGAAGAAAGTCTAGCTTTCATTCTACCTAGAATACCCTTTTTCCTCTGTCAGAGTTTCACCAGTTATTAAACTGTGGCTGTATAGGCTGTCAAATGCGGGAACTTCAGCCCAACAGATGGGGCGACCTACCATCCTGGTGGGGTCCAAGAAGTACTTTCCAGGGGAAACAGGACAGTACCGCTTTATTTCTTCTCAGCCTTTGAAAAGTAAAATCTCTGTTGGCCCATAGCCATTTGGACAAATGTTTCACTGAAAATTAATTCTGAATCATAGACAAAACAACACATGTACTAAACCACATGGCCAGTAGCTTTTGTACTAATCGCCAGTCTATCCTTTCTTTCTTTTATTTGCCTGCATTTCCTCATTGAGTTATTTTTCATTTTTAAAAATCACATTGTTGTTTTTAGGCATCTTATATCATTTTCGGAATGAGGAAAGACATAAATACATAAAAATGAATTAATACATCCAAATTTCCTCCATTAGTCTTCTTAGACTACACAATTCACAAACCTGCCACAGAGGGCTAATACCTTCTGAAAAGTGTTTGTTTTAATTTTGTTTCTATTAGTTTAAAGGATCTGTTTTTGAAATCATCTAAGAGAAGTATGTTAAAGGTCTTAAAATACAGCTAAGAACAATAACACAATACCACCAATGTTATAAATCTTATGGTTATATTTTATCCACTGGTGCAATGTCCTTTATTTGCACATTTAAGATATTATTGGGCCTTTTTTTCCACATGGGGAAGCTGGAGCTATTAAAAGTATTCCGTGGTGTAACCAACCTTTCAGAAAACATCAGAGGCGTAAACAGCTATAAGAAGTTGGTTCAGCCGGGCACCGTGGCTCACGCCTATAATCCCAGCACTTTGGGAGGCCGAGGCGGGTGGATCACGAGGTCAAGAGAACGAGACCATCCTGATCAACATGGTGAAACCCCTTCTCTACTAAAAATACAAAAAATTAGCTGGGCACGGTGGCACGTGCCTGTAATCCCAGCTGCTCAGGAGGCTGAGGCAGGAGAATTGCCTGAACCCAGGAGGCGGAGGTTGCGGTGAGCCGAGATCGGGCCATTGCACTCCAGCCTGGGTAACAAGAGCGAAACTGCGTCTCAAAAAAAAAAAAAAAAGAAGTTGTTTCATGTCTCTAGGGGATAATACTCCCTTGAAAGAAGATATTACTCCCTCTCTTTATTCATATCTGTGAAATCTTGCCTTTGACTTGATCAAGCTGAAGAGACTAATGTCTCTCAGGTAGCTGATAGACTGTGAAATTAAGTTCAAGAAATAAGATCACTTGAAAGAGCGTTCTTTATCCGTGACTCTGCCTGCCATCACAGGCTTAAAGAAATTTGGCGTTGAACTCATCCATCAGTTCTGTTTCCTCTACTGGTTTTTGCATTTGATGGAGGAAACTGGTGATTTTTAGATTGACAGAAAAAAAGCAACTGAGAACAAAGCTTGCTTACAGGTGTTTTTGCTGGGAGTAGTGTCTTCTTCTCCTTTAAGCCCTCAGTGCGTTTCCTAGTTTTGCAAATATTTTCCTTTTGAGGCCTTCTTACCAAAGCTGTCAGCAGGATTTATGATGAATGCCATTTGTAATAGACAAGGGCTGTTTCTTGGTATGACACTGGCCAAACATATTGCTCTTTACCTGAGTATTTGTGACTGTTGGTGGTTTCAACTTTCGTGTTGAAGTGCGCTTGATTTCATGTTAGGGAAGCAGGCTATTGTCTTGTTGACAAGGAGTGGCTTCTTATCATTCTACACAATGGAATTAAACTCACTATTGTGCCATTATTTATGTCAGGTGGTTGGCGTATATTCTGATTCAAACAAAAATAATAAGGAGTTTTATTATAATAATTATCCTTTTTATGTAGCTTTACAAACAATATCAGAGTGATTAAATAGCTGACTGTAAATTAGAACTCAAACTAGAAAGATCTGAATTCATGTCCTGTATTCTACACTCTTCCCCTCCCAACATAAATGTTCTCTAAATGTGTTTCTCCAAGTCTTCAACCTTCTAAAATACAAACTTTATACTAAACACCTTTTACAGATCTCTTGATGATAATCACCGTAGAGTGTTTATGTTCCTTCCGATTTCAAGGAGAATTGAAAGATGCCAAAATTCATGCAGCAGTACACTGCATTACATTTTTTCCCCCAAGTTTGCAATGAGCTGTGTGTGGAACTTTTAAGTTGTTATTTGCAGTGTTTAATTTCAATGGTGTATTTCAGAAACCAGTGAAAAGAAATCAACAAGTCTTGTAACATGCCTTATTTCTGAAAGTACAAATAAAAATCATTGTCTAATGTGATTAATATATTAGTGAGATCTGACACTTTATTTGTGTTTAAGTCATTCTGAACATTTTCTTGTTAATATTATGTGGGATTTTAAGGATATTTCAGGGAATTTAGCCTCATATCCTTTATTTTAATTTTAATTACTTTTTTGCCATTTTCTCTTATACTCTACTGTCTTATTGTTCCTTTTTTGCATTTGTAAAATATGGTTTGATTCAATAAGAATGATGTGACATTTATACAAGAATGTGTCTGTCAACTGGAAACAAAACTTACCCAATGTAGTTATCATTTTACTTTTCACAGAACGTTTTGCACCTTTAATACTCTCACAAGGCAATAAGTAGATCTGCATGTTGTTCTAGAAATATGTTATTTCTGCCAATTTTTCTTACCCTCTTCTAGACATATACAGCAATCAAATAAGTCTATTTAGCTTTTTGGATTCTGAGAATTGTCACCTTTCAGGCCAGGTTTCAATTGTTCATTCACTTAAGTAAGAGCTATGTTTGAGTGCCTCTGTGTGTGCCAGGAACCATAGTAGGTGCTGGGCCATGGCACTGAAGGAGATAAAGCCATCTGGGTCCTCGGGAGATCACAAGTCAGGGAAGAAGACAAAGAGAGAACCCATAATCACACATGTGATGAGGGGCTACAAGAAGGGAAAGGTGGAATGTTGTCTGAACCAATGACAGAAGACTTAATGAGTTTGAAAGACTGCAGGATCAGCAATATATTCTCTGAAGAGGTGACATTTTTATGAAGAAATAAAGGAATAAGCCAGATGTCAATGGCAGGGGAGAAAAATTCAGGCTTTGAAGGCATCAGGAGCCATTTTTTTTTTTAGGAACAGAAGGTAACATAAGAGGCTGGTTCCTTTCCTCGCCTCATGTTCATGAGAAGGATTCTGGACATACTTTATGGAAGTTTATTTTCCAATGTCTAAAATGAAACTTTTAGAAAAAAGTTTCTACTACCATGTTTCTCTCTTCTTATACATTGGGTATTTTTCAACTCTGGACAAAGATAAGATGGAGATGAGGCCAGAAGACAATTGTGTGCTATTAGCAAGGAGGTATTAGTAAGGAGGTATTTCAAGGAACTATTTATCTTTCCTCGCCACAGGCATTGTGATAAGTTCTTTTGATTTACAGTTGTTGTAATGAGATACCTGTCACTTCTATTTTTGCAATGAAGGAAACTGAGGATGGGGGAGGGCAAGTTACTCACTCTGGGTGAGTAGAGCTAGAATTTGAAACCAACCATCTTTGACAAAAAAATATAATGCCTGTACAAAGTGGCAAAGGCATACAGGGGGCTTATCATGAGCATACTTAGAAACAGTGATCATACAATGTGAAGTTAAGGGAAGTACACAAGATATGAGGCTGAAAGGTGCAACGTGATTAGGAAAGCATCAAACAGGCATCATGGGAATTCTTGGCTTTCTACTCAGAGCCTAGCTCATTTCCAAACAGGTGTCTTCTCATCACCACCCTATGCAAGGAAATATGACCATCCCAGTTGAAGAGGCCTTATATTTCTATGGATAATTTAAATTCCCTCAGCAGTATATGGCAGTCAATGAGCTTTCGTCACTCCCAACTCACTGGAGTTCTTTTAGAAATGGACAAACAACCAAAATGAAAGGGGAAGTGTAAACGATTCTCTGAGAAAAAGTTCCACTGATTTTCTTTTTTAAAGTTCCTTGAAGAGATGTGAGACCCAGAACTGCAGCGGTCATTTCACTACAGTCCTGAAGTGGAAGCCAGTCGAGGTGAGGACTCATAAGTTTTAAAGGAGAACATGAAGACAGTATCAAAAGGTGCTTAAGATCTTTGCTCCTGGAATCACCTGGTGACCTCCCATCCTAGCTCTGCCATATACCAGCTGGATGACCATGGGAAAGCTATTTAACTTTTGTAAGGTACCATTCTAGGATACGCTCCATGCGGATTTTGATAACATCTCATAAGGGTTCTGTGAGGATTATATGTATATAGAGAGAGAGCTTAGCATCTCACACTCAATAAATGATTGCTTCATTATTATAACTCAAGGACAGTGAAATATTTATGTTTCTGATGAGACAGGAAAATTAATGGCTTTGATTTTAAGGATCTTAACAAACATTATCAAATATTTAATATACTAAGGCATGTTTCAGTATAGATTTTCTGCATTTGGTTTAACCAATAACTTTTGTACTCAGAATCAGAGTCAGGAAATTTACTGTTTCGAGGGATCTTTCATAGTTAACTAAAGAGCAAAGGCAATTCGGTGGATAAAAGATAAATAGTCATTTAACAAATGGTTGTAGAACAATTGGACATTCTATATAAAACAATAATCTAGACACAGATTTCAGATACTTCACAACTTTCTGAAAATAGATTGTAGATCCAAATGCAAACTGCAAATCTTTTAAAAAAAACAAAAGATAACAGAAGAAATCTAGGTGACGATGGATTTGGTGATCAGCTTTTGAATATAACACCAAAAGTAGAATCCGTGAAATAAAAAGCTGATACATTGACTTTATTAAAATTAACAACTTCTTCCTTGCAAAAGACGCAGCTAAGGGAATGAGAAGAAAACCACACACTGGGAGAAAATATTTGTAAAACACATAATTGGTAAAGAAGTTGTATTCAAAATGTACAAATAACTCTTACAACTCAGCAGTAAGAAAATAAACAACCCTATTAACAAATGGGACAAAGATCTGAGCTAACATCTCACCAAAGGAGATATATATACAGATGGCTTGGCAAATAAGCTACTAAACTCATGTCTTTAGGGAACTGCAAATTGAAATAAGATACCACTGCATGCCTATTTGATTGAGTAAAATCCGAAAATACCACCACCAAATGATGGTGAAGGTGTGAAACAACAGAAACTCATTTATTGCTGGTAGGAATGAAAACTGGTAGCGCCATCTTGGAAGATAGTTTGTCAGTTTCCTACAAAACTTACATGGTCTTACTATACAATCCAGCAATTATGCTCCCAAGGATTCACTCAATTAAGTCGAAAACTCATGTACACAAAAAACCTGCTCATGTTTATAGTAGCTTTATTAGTGGTCTTTACATACTGTAGGCATTTCTGTAAGAAGTTCTTCAGTACAAAAATAAATAAACTGTGGTACATCTGTACAATAAAATATTATTCAGTGCTTAAAAAAAAAAAGCTAACAGGCCATGAGAAGACAGGGAGGAAACTGAAATGCTTATTACTAAAGGAAATAAGCCAGTCAAAAAAGGCTGCGTACTATACGATTCCAACTGTCTGATGTTCTGGAAGTGGCAAAGCTATGGAGATAATGAAAAGATCAGCGGTTGCCAGGAGGAAGCTGCGCAGAGGGCAATGGAGAGGAATGAGTAGGTGACATATGATGGGTTTTTAGGATGATGAGCGGTTCCGTATGATACTGCAATAGTGAATGTATGTCTTTATGCATTTGTCAAAATTCATAGAACTCTAAAACAGAGTAAACCTTACAGTAAGCTCTAGACTTCAGTTAATAGTAATATATTAATATTGGTTTACTAATCATAACAAATACACTGCTCCAAAGCAAGATGTTAACTGGGGAGACTGTGCAGGAAAGGGGATGGAATATGGGAAATCTCTGAATGATAATCTCAATTTTTCTGTAAGTTTAATTTTGTTTCTTTAAAAAAAAAAAAAAAAGGCAATTAGTGACCAGGCGCAGTGGCTCACACCTGTAATCCCAGCACTTTGGCAGGCCAAGGCTGGCAGATTACAAAGTCAGGAGTTCAAGACCAGCCTGACCAACATGGTGAAACTGTGTCTGTACTAAAAATACAAAAATTAGCCAGGTGTGGTAGCAGTTGCCTGTAATCCCAGCTACTCAGGAGGCTGAGGCTTGAAGAATCACTTGAACACAGGAGGCAGAAGTTGCAGTGAGCTGAGATCGTGTCACTGCACTCCAGCCTGGGTGACAGAGCCAGACTCCATTTCGGAAAAAAAAAAAAAAAATTAATTTTTAAGAACCAATGACCAAATTTAAATTTAAATATTATATTTAATAGAAGAATCCATGCCTCAGGGTGTATTTTCTATGTTTGATTCTTAGTTACTGAGATCCAGAGTCAGTGAATTTGCCATTTCTCCAGATTTGGAAGAAGAAAGAGAATCAGCTATAAAACTGATCATGGTATATACCAAACTGCCTCAACTGAAAGTGACATACAGCTCAGATTTTATACTTCACAGCACCTATGAACCAAAAGAAAAAGGGGACTTTCCATGAAATCAGATTAGTAAAGACTTCAGCATTGGCCCTTTCCTGACTGTAAAGGTCTTCAATCAGCTTCATAAATCACCTAGGTCGAAAGGAAAAACAGAGTTACAGAGGCCAATGTGTAAAACAGTGGGTTTCTCTTGATTGTCAGCTGGATCCATGAACAAGGTACTCAATTTCATGTTCAGAAATCCAAAGAGCAGAAGGCACACATTTTACAGACTTCTACCAGCAAGGGAAGCTTGCATATTTACTCTGCAATTTGTCAATTTGAGTTTATTTCCGTCACAGTAAGATGCTACAGGGGGAGAAGCAAATCACTACTGGGTTCTCCTTTTGAATCTGGAATGAATTTACTGATAGTTCATCATCTTGGCCCTGAAAAATACTGTTGTGATGATGAACCTAAATATTTTTCAAGTATTTTTTATGGAAATAACAGATAACCATAAGAACATTTCAAAAAGTTAATTTTAGTTTTTCTAACATGCTTTGCACTTCCTTTTTATATTCCTAGCTGTGGCAGGAGTATTAATAAAGCAACAATGATTTTTTCTATTATTATTACTATTAATCATTATAGAACCTGGGAGTGAGTCATTTTTCATAAATTTGGGCTGGGATATATATGTAGGATAGGCGAGTGCCCCTTTTAGCCACAGTCCATCTCAAATCGTTGAGTAAGAGGAAAGGGTGGTGAATGTGGAGGGTACAAAACATAGCAGACAGAAGACGACAGAAAATAAAACATAGCAAGCAGCAAAGATCAAGGTCAAGTGGCAAAGGAGAAGCACAATTACTATTCTGAAATGTGAGTCAGGGTCATCCTAGTTTGCCCACTGTCCATCTCTGCCAAAACGAGGACTGCCCATTCCCTGGTAATGTGCTCTGCCTGCATTTATACAGTCGCCGTACTTTGCAAAGAGTGGCTATTTTTTTTTTTTTTTTAGACGGAGTTTCCCTCTTGTTACCCAGGCTGGAGTACAATGGCGCAATCTCGGCTCACCGCAACCTCCGCCTCCTGGGTTCAGGCAATTCTCCTGCCTCAGCCTCCTGAGTAGCTGGGATTACAGGCACGCGCCACCATGCCCAGCTAATTTTTTGTATTTTTAGTAGAGACGGGGTTTCACCATGTTGACCAGGATGGTTTTGATCTCTCGACCTCATGATCCACCTGCCTCGGCCTCCCAAAGTGCTGGGATTACAGGCTTGAGCCTCCGCGGCCTGCCAAGTGGCTACTTTTTTTTAAATCTTGCCAGAATGCAATTCTAAAAATGTAATTATAGACACCACTCCCCTCTACCCAACAACAGGATCTGGCATTTAAAGGATTTCCTGAACTCAAAGGTATGGCGTCAACCGTAAAACCCTTTGGGTTACTCTCAGCCTATTATTGTTTGTTTGGTGACAAAATAAGGCAGAATCAAGAAGTTTAGCAAAACTTGCCTTGGTAGAATTGTATATAGGAGCTGTAGTCTGTGCTGTAGTCTGTGTAGGGTGAGACACATCAGCGTAATCTAAGAGATTTAAACAGCATCCCACTACTCACCACTCTCAATCTCTCCTCTCTGGCAACTCCTCATGTTTTCTATAAAGCAGTGATTTTTCAAAGTGAGGTTCCAGGCTACATAATTCAGAGTCAGTTGGCTTGCCTGGTAAATACACAGATTCCTGGGCTCTAACATCCTAGGCTTAGTATCTAGTTGCCTGTATTTTTGACAAGCATTTCAATTAATATTTGAGTGAAAGCTTTCTGTAAGTCCTCCTTCGACCCGAATGCCTGCCCTACTTTCGTCTTTGGTGACTGTCAACTGAGCTTTGCAAGGGTATTAAAAATAACCACTATATTCACAGATACTATTTTAAAGAAGTAACTCCTCCCAAGGATATTTGCATTTTAAGGGGTTTCCAAGAGGGTATAATATCTTTTTTGATGAGAAGAGAAAATTATAATATTAAAGGAAGCTACCTTGTCAATTTGTGTTATGCACAAATGCTCAAATAATAAGATAATCACAACCAAAAATTATGAAACACTGATTTACTATGTGTCAGCTCATTATAAAGATTACTGCTAATTCCTATCACGAACCATGAAAAGTAATATCTCCTCTTCACTGAAGAAATAACTGAGGCTTCTTGTGATGAAATGCTTTGTTCCAAGGCCATATATTTAGTAGATACCTGAATCAGCCTCATATTAGGTTGTTTGGGCTACATAATTCTGGTTATTTATATGAGACTGTAGTTTACTCTAGAAAGAAGAAAACAGCTTTTCACAGACAAAATACGTATTGGACACCAATTTTAGAGAATCCTGGTGAATTCAAATTCCGTTTGGCTAAGGTTGTTGGAATCTTCGTTATTTTTATGAACTATTAAAGCATTTTACATGTTTCCAGACATTTCTTTAATAAGGTTTAGCACTACTGGGTTGAGAATGTGTCATTTTCATTTCTACCCTGAGATCCTCCCTGTGCTCAACTCTTTTTATTTCTGCCACTTCAGTTTCATTTCTATCACCTTTTGAAAAGCAGCATGTCTCAAACTATTTATTTTTGAGGTTATCTGCATTACTTTGAACTAACTCTAAGGAAAGGTTGTAGATTTTTAGAGAAGTGTAGGAAGTGTGGGAATTTATTTGTGTAATTCTTGCTGGTTGACTAGGGAATGAATTCCCGGGGTTTATCAACCCGTTCTGTCAGTTTGACATTATAGTTTAAAGTATTTGCCACTCAGATTCTCAAGGTACACAATCTCCTTCCTGTGCTCATCTTTCAGATATTTTTGGAGAGGATCTTCTAGGTGTGAAGTCTAGATGCATTTTTCCAAGTACTTCAGTTTATTCTTTAAAATGTTCTAGCAACACAATTCTAAAAATTAAACTTTCAACATATGTTTTGGAAACTTAGGTAGCAATTTATTAAAACCAAACATTAATTTTATTCAAAGACATGACTTGAAGGCTTTGGAATTATTCTGAACTTGTAGATTTTCTTGAAGAAACTACATCCTTCGTTTGCTCTGAATAAAAGAAATCAAAGGCGAATATAAAGCACACGTGATGGTCTGTCTCGGTACATTCATTGCATTTGATGATCCTGGATGTCCTTGTTTTGAAGGTATTGCTCTTTACTCTCTGTCCTCTGTGTTATCAGAGGAAAAGCAGGTGCCAAGCATTTTCCTTTCTATCAGCTACAATTTGGCTGTGTTTGGTTAATGGTAGATACGGGGTGAAGCTTGTGGGAGGTGAGGGGTAAGGAGAGAAGAAACTCAGTATTTCTTTTTCCTCTTCTCTGCCGGCAGACTTGTGGACATTGGTTTTCTTTTTTCTTTTTTTTTTTTTTTGAGACGGAGTTTCGCTCTTGTTACCCAGGCTGGAGTGCAATGGTGCGATCTCGGCTCACCGCAACCTCCGCCTCCTGGGTTCAGGCAATTCTCCTGCCTCAGCCTCCTGAGCAGCTGGGATTACAGGCACGTGCCACCGTGCCCAGCTAATTTTTTGTATTTTTAGTAGAGAAGGGGTTTCACCATGTTGATCAGTATGGTCTCGTTCTCTTGACCTCGTGATCCACCCGCCTCGGCCTCCCAAAGTGCTGGGATTACAGGCTTGAGCCACTGCGCCCGGCCTCGGACATTGGTTTTCTATTCTCCATAGGGCCAGCTCCTTCATATTCTTCATATCCAACAGCTTCAAAATCTCCACATTGCTACTTCCTGCAGGACATGTCTGCTGTGCATCTGGCTTCCACTCGTAACCCTACCCCCTAGACCAGGGAACACTACCTCCTTCCATTATCTCTCCAGCCTCATACTAGGAGTGGTTTTCTGCTGTTTAAATCTCTTAGATTACTCTATTGTGTCTTATTTGTATTTTAAATTCCTCCATCACCTGCATAAGCAATTATCTAAGGGTAGGTATCTGAACTGGTTTTTATTTTTCTAGTTAAACTCCAACCTGTATACCCCTATGCACCCCTATGGACATGTCATTTATCATGCGTTAATAACGTTTTTTATTTCAGTGCATTTAATATCAATGTAGAGGAATATGGGGAAATTACAACAAATCTAATACCCAAATGTTGATCTATAATCAATTTTTGAGTATTTGCCATTATGCATTTTTCAATAGAAGAATGTATGTTTTGGTGAAAATTTTTTTTGACTTGCCGTATTAATCCTACAGTAACCCTTTCTATTTCTACTTAAGGGAAAGCTTTCGGAAGAAAGTAACACACTGTTTTGGGGTTATTTTCTCTTTAAAATTTTATTTCAGGTACATTACAGATTATAGTTTTTTAACTAGATTTTAAATTTTAAGCCAGTAGAAATATAGACACCTATGAAATGTTTTCATGACAGCATCAATTCAAGATACAAACTAGTATATAAAACCTCCTCACCTACACTCAAAAAATTAATTACTAGCATATTTTGTGAAGTTTTACACAAAAAGGTCAAATTTACTTTTAGCACATGCAGTTTAAATGTTTAAAAAAGCTGACCAAGGACTCCCAAAGCTTGGTTGAGCCTCCTCTCTTACTCAGTTAGAAATACTACACGTAGGGAAAGCCATACCTAGCTCTGGTCCCTAATTGTTACCAAACAATGCTGGTTTTCTCCAAATCCTGCTTTTTAAAATTCCTGTTTACACAACTAAGCTGTATTTATAGCTTCCATTACAGACAGATGAAGCCATGTGTCTGAATTTTGATTCATGAAATGTTAGAGAAAGTATGCTCCCTTTTAGTCCTGCCCCCTGGAAGCTTCCTGAACTATTCTCCACTTGTGCTTTTCTCTCATCTTGCCCAAAGCAAAGAATATCATGGAAGAATCTGAGTTCTTAAAGATGGCAAGCTTCAAGCTGGAGCTGGGTTCCCAAATGACTGTGTGAAACAAAGTACAGCCCCTGAACTAGCCCCAAAAGGCTGATAGGTATGAGATACTAATGTGTCAGAAAATTTTGCTTTTACTATGTTAAAACACTGAGATTTTAGGATTAGAGTAATAAGTATTTGCCTTCATTAGTGCACAGATAAATTAAGCACTGACAGAACCAAATTTCAGAGATATACTGCTAATCTGAGATCTAAATTTCTCCTTTTGGATTCATTTTACTAATTCTTCCATCTTTTCCTCTCTTCTCTTCCTTCTCATAATTTCCCTGTGTTCATTTTAATATGGAAAAGTAACCTCTGTTGAAATATAAATTTAGGAGGGAATGCTGCCAAAGGCTTATCTAATGGAGTGCCTTGAGAATTTAACTTGCATTTTGTTTTCCATTGCTATAGTAAGAAACCTTTTTGTTAGGCTGAGGGGTGAAACATCAAGAGCAAATAACAGGGATTTGCCCCACCTGTTCTCCAAGCTGGACAAAGAACTCACTCTGTATTTCTAGCAATTGGGTCTTTCTAAATATGCCGTCAATCTCTTCTAGAAAGGGATAGTCGTCTCCTTGGCAGGAGAAATGATATGAAGGATGTCTTTTAACGAGAACTTAAAAAAATATCAAGGGTTGGCAGGACCATGAGGACAAGACAGGAAAAAGAACCAAGAAATGGTTCAGGATATCTGATGATGTTCTAAGGTGAGGGCCATGCTGGAGCCCGTGAACCAAATGAAGCCTGCAGGAGGGACTCCGTGTTATGTGCTTAGGGCCAGTGCATGGACTAAGGAACCTGACCTTTAGTTTAAATGTCATTCCCATGCTTCCCTGACCAACCACTATTTAAGGACTTACCTCCAATGCCCCAAGACAACCGGGCACCTAATGGAGTAGTAAAGGAGCAAAATAACCAGTGTTTTGTGAGATGGATAAATCTGTGCCAGTGAGTCTTGAGTCTAGGTCAGATGGCAGTGGATGCTCCATTACTTAAAAATAGTATGCAACTTTATCCTAGGCAAGGACATGTTATATTCTTATTAATCTCCACCTTCAGTATTCTTGACTAATATGTCTTTGTGTAGATTATCCCAAGTACTCAGGGGTTCTAATCATGCAGCTTCCACTTGGATCAAAACTTTTATAGATAGTATAAGTTTACCTCCTCTTCTGTGTGGCTTCTCCTAAGTCATCCTGGCTTCCGAATGGCATTCTGAGAGAGTAGAAAGAACATGATCTTCAGAGTAAAAAGTGTCTCTGTCTGGTCATTGGGAAATCGACAAATCCTCCTTTGATTTTTTTTTTTCTCCTTTGGGCTACTTACATGGTGGAGCTATGACCAAGTTGAAATGATCTATGTGGGTACATCTAGCATGTTGTCTGGCCTAAGGCAGGAACTTGGGAAATCTAGAGATACTATGCAAACAGTTTCCACAAGTAAACAGACATTCATATTTCTGTATCCAGGGATCACATCTATCTTTCCTAATGAAGGTATAGCCATGCTGTTTTCCTTATACCTGCTTGAACATTTGACTTTCTTCTCTTCATTGCTCCTTTGGGCCTGAAAACTCCAAAAGTAGAAGGGAGATGCAGGACATGGGGAATAAAAGTGGTCATCATCCTCGGTAGGATGAATGCCCCACACTGCACGCTTTGTCCCAGTACTAGCCGCAGGATGGCAAGGATTTAATTGTCCAACCTCTGATCCAGGAACAGCCACTACTCCTTGAATTTTTACAATCACAAGGAAAATGCATTAGAATCTTCATTTGGTAGATGAAGTCTCTGAGTACCAAAGCATAAAGTTACTTGACCAACCTCATATAGAAAATCAGAACTTTATCTGGAATTTACAATAAGGACTTTTTTTTTTTTTTTTACAGTAAGGACTTTATCATTTGACTTATTTGGTTGATGTAATTTTCTCATTTTCCAAAATACTTTTCTCCTATAGCAGCAAAGGCAAGCAGAGAGACAGATTTTTTCTCTTCCCAATTCCCCACCTTTTTCTTTTTGTATCATTGACAGAAAACCAGAACATTATCATTGTGACACTAGAAAACCTGTAGTTCTCTGACACTGAAAGAAACTGAAGCCAATGCCAGTTTTCCTTATCTTGGTTCGTTAATTCCATCCTCAGGGCTGTTCACTGCTACTGCCCATAGGAGTTCCTGTGTTTCTACAGAAGAATGACCTCTCATTGCAGTTACCCTCATCCCAAAACACTAGAGTAATTTCCAGTTAGGATAGTGAATCGTGATCTAGAATTAAATACTAATTGGTCAATCTAACCATTTTACTGACAATAAGCATTCTACCTACTTTTCAAAACTTTGGAGTTATTATTTGAAGACCAATATGACTTATGAACACTTCAGTCTATAAGCTATTGGGTAAAAAGATACAAAGAAGTCAAAATCAAACTTTTTGTCCCTGGGGCCATGTGTATAATAATACAAGATAGGGGACATGTAGTTGTCAGAGGAGAGGAATGGACAGTAAGGGAGACAGCATAGTACAATGCGGTGGTGGGAAAGTCTTCTTGAAAGAAGGGAAAACTGAAAGGTGATGAGGATTTAAACACATAAGAAGGGTTAAAAGAGAATGATCTAGACCTGGAAGAGAACAAGGTCAGGCACGGTGGCTCACGCTTATAATCCCAGCACTTTGGGAGGCCGAGGTGGGTGGATCACGAGGTCAAGAGATCGAGACCATCCTGGTCAACAAGGTGAAACCCCATCTCTACTAAAAATACAAAAATTAGCTGGGCACAGTGGCAGGTGCCTGTAATCCCAGCTACTCGGGAGGCTGAGGCTGGAGAATTGCCTGAACCCAGGAGGCGGAGGTTGCGGTGAGCCGAGATCGTGCCATTGCACTCCAGCCTGGGTAACAAGAGTGAAACTCCATCTAAAAAAAAAAAAAAAAAAAAAAAGTGTAAACAAAAGCACAGAGAAAATTATGTACAAGGAATGATATAGACATTAAAAAAATAAATTTCATCCGAGAATAAGTTGTGCAGAAAGAAAAAACGTAAGTTGTTAAGTTAGTTTCAGAGGCTTGTACCATGTAGAGTGTTAGAATGGGGCAGGACAATTGGACTTCATCCACTGACATTGGGGAGTTTCTGGGAGGTTGAAGTAAGAGACCATGAGGTAAAGGATGCTTAAAAAAGATTAAAAGGTCAAAGTTAAATGAAAGGAACAAGTTTTAGTATTTGATACTACAATAGAAAAATGACAATTTGTGTATTTCAAAATAGGTAAAAAAGAAATATTTCAATGTTCTCAACAGAAAGAAAAGATAAATGCTTGAGGTGATAGATATCCCAATTACCCTGATTTGATCACTGCACATTGTATACAAATATCAAAATATCACATATATCCAAAAAAAAGTACAACTATAATATATCAATGAAAAAAATACAAAAATGAGTAACCCCCACTTATGAAAAAAATTGCAAGGGGGGAGATTATTCAGTGTAGGAAAATAATTGTCAGAAATAATTCAATTGTCCAACAAAAATTGTTGAATACCTGGAAAAGAAAAAGGAATGGAAGAGTAAAAACAAAGCACATTAAAAAAAAAACATAGCTGGATCTAAAATAGTAGAGAGAAACTTCACCTGGAGTAAAGGCTGAAGGATTACACCAGTGGTTCTCAAACTTGCGTATGTGTCAGAATCTTCTGAGGAGTTTGTTAAAACACAGATTTCTGGGTTTGAACTCCAGAGTCCATCCTCTTTACAACAAAGAATGACAGGGCAGGCTGGGTGAGGTTGCTCATACCTGTAATCCCAGCACTATGGGAGGCAGAGGCAGGTGCATCACTTGAGGTCAGGAGTTAGAGACCAGCCTGGCCAACATGATGAAAACTCACCTCCACTAAAAATACAAAAATTAGCTGAGCATGGTGGCTCATGCCTATAGTCCCAACTACTTGGGAGGCTGAGGGAGAAGAATGGCTTGAACCTGGGAGGTGGAGGTTGAAGTGAGCTGAGATCATGCCAGTGCACTACACCCTGGGTGACAGAGAGAGAGTCCGTCTCAAATAATGATAATAACAATGATGATGATGATGACAGGGCAGAGAAGTCCTCAAGAGTCCCTAGAAGGTGGGATTATTATGTATCTGATACTCAGTGTCAAGCACCCTATTGTATACATTTCATTTCCCATGGTCAGAGTAGGTGTGCAGTAAAGGCAGGAGATATTGTATTCCTACTTACTAAATCTCACTTGTCATTTGAACATATAATACCATAAACATGTTTCTTTTCCCAAACACCAATTGCTGCACCCAGGCTCCCTTTCTGAGGTCAGAACAGCAATTTAACAATCACATCACCCAGCAGTGATTATGCTATGCATTTTCTGAAATTATCCAAAATGAGAACTCCTGGGGTCCATAACTCAGCTCTCCCCTTCCCACATGTGCATGATTTCCTTCGCCTCCTATTATGCTCTTTGGACCTGTAGTCATGCAAATGACACAAATGAACAGCTGCATTCAGCCAACCAGATGGTCACATGTGGGAAGAGATGGGATGGAGATGGTGTAAGTAATACCCTATGAAGTAAGTTAGTGCTACCGAAATTCTGCTTTTCTTCTATTAAAGCTGAATGAAAGGTTAATTATTTACATCCATATTCACTTAACAAAGGGAATTAATCTCAAAGGCACAGTAAGAAATTTTCAGCAGAATTTCACAACAGTTTATTCCAAAATAAGAGAGGAGAGTGATTGAATGTGTGTGGGAGAATGTGATGGAAGCAATGAACAGGCTTGTGTAAAATTCTGCTTGCTTGAGATATACACCTGAATTGGTAGGTGATTGGGGAAGAGGGTAAGAAAGGAATCCATTCAGTCTTTTAAATCAATATTGAACCCTGATGAAACAAAAGATAGTCTTTTGCTTCCTAGGTGCTGTTCTTTTCAGAAATGTAAGCAATTTGAAATGAGGATATAAACTTTTCTCAGTTCACAACAAAATTGGTGTTTAACACGTGTCACATTTAAAGATGTTATACACACTCATATTTTGTAGACATAGGAATATTTGTAATCTTTCTAAATTTTCCACAATCATGTTTTTACTTTCCTCTTTTGAAAAGTTATTTCTCAGAGTTATTTTCAGGTTGTATGTATATAATAATCTTCATTCATAGTAGCACATTTAGCCATATTTTAATATCTGTGGAGAGAGAGAAATGTGTTCATATTGTGATGGGTACTACTGCTTTTCAATTTATAGATTTACTTGCTGAAGAACAGTAAGTTTATAAATGGCAGTTAAAACTCAGGATGAGAGTATTTTATCCACACCTTCATTAATATAAAAAGCAGTATTGGGCCAGGCACGGTGGCTCACGCCTGTAATCCCAGCACTTTGGGAGGCCAAGGCTGGTGGATCACGAGGTCCAGAGATTGATAGCATTCTGGTCAATATGGTGAAACCCTGTCTCTACTAAAATACAAAAAATTAGTTGTGCCTGTAATCCCAGCTACTCAGGGGCTGAGGCAGGAGAATTGCCTGAACCCAGGAGGCGGAGGTTGCAGTGAGCTGAGATCGCGCCATTGCACTCCAGCCTGGGTAACAAGAGCAAAACTCTGTCTCAAAAAAAAAAAAGCAGTATTGTTCAGTTGACTCTTTTTTTAACAGAAGCATCTAGGGTCCAGATTTTTTGTAAGCAGTTACACAAAATAAAAAGAATGTCATATTCCATTGCATATTAGTACTTAAAAAATAATGAGACACAGGACGTGGAGCCATTTTCTTTCTCTTTTTTTTTTTGGAGTTCTATTAAAAAATAAACATTTGACTTTATTATTAGAAATCAAAAGAAAATATTTTCAGTAAAATTAACTGAATAATAAAAAAAAAAATGAAAAAAATGTAAAAGGTGAAAAAAGATAGGCTGGGCGCAATGGCTCATGCCTGTAACCCCAACACTTTGGGAGGCTGAGACAGACAGATTGTTTGAGCCCAGGAGTTCAATACCAGCCTGGGAAATACGGTGGAACTCTGTCTCTACAAAACATACAAAAAATTAGCCAAGCATGGTGGCACATACCTGCATGCTACTTGGAAGGCTGAGGTGGGAGGTTCACTTGAGCTCAGAGAGGTCAAGGCTGCAGTGAGCCATGATCATGCTACCACACTCCAGCCTGAGTGACAGAGTGAGATCCTGTCCCCACCTCACCCCACCCCACAAATGCTTAGCCTTGATTTTCTTACATAAAAATATTTTAGATTTTTTTCTGATTATAAAAGTGAAGCATCCTTATTTGTAGACAACTTGGTAAAGAGCCAAGAGTATAAAAAACAAAATTTTGAAAAAAACATTGTTCTACAGAATTAACATTTGCTATATTTTTTTCTAGTCATGTCTTTGTACATTAAACATATATATAGTTACACAGGGATGTACTAAAAATATCCTATATTTGAAATAGTGTTCCTTTGAAAAATGCACGATTACATATTATTCCCTTTTCCATAATATTTACATTTTTTTAGGCACAGAGTATGAATTATTTCCCAATCTACAGTCATATATATCAATACAACATTTAGCTGCTACTAATAATGATGTGATAAACTTATTTCCCATTATTGGATTTTTCCTGCTTTTTTGCACTGTGATGAGGTGGACAGAAATTTGGCAAGCAACTAATCAGAGCCAGAGCTAAATTGGACTTTTTAGTTGATTTTATAGAGGATGGAGGAGTCAAGTATTCATTCATTCAAATAGTTTTTAATAACTACTCTTTTTCTAGGTACCATTCTATGGGGGATACTTCAGAAGATAAAACATGTAAAAGTCTCTTGTTTCATAAAGCTTGGATTCCAGTGTTGCCATTTATTAAGACAGAGAAAATTCAAATAGAAAGTGTTTTGTGGGTTTTAGGTGGGAGGTTGGAGTTGTGAAAAATTATGCTTTGAACATGTTGGGTTTCAAAGTGCCCCTGAGGTATCCAACCAGAGATTTACTGAAGGAACTCAGGAAATAAGTCTGGGCTAGAGATATTGGTTTGGGACTTGTCAGCATACAGATGGGAATTAACACCACAAGAGTAGATATTATCGTCCAGAGGAAAAGACTGATTGAGAACTACCGAGAATGTAGGTCTTACACTCATGGAGCACCAACATTTTAAAAAGAGATATTTGCAAATAATATGGAAAGAGAAAAGAGGTAAATGAAACTCCTAAAGTTATGGAGCCATGGAGCCGAGATGGCAGCAGGTGTACTGCCAGAATTCATGTCATTTAGAAATTTCCTTGAGGAGACTGGTTGGACCTTTGCAAGATGGAGTGATTGGGCTAAATGGCTTTGTCTTGGTTTGGGTACCCCCAGAATCCTGGGATAAGGATTCATGCACAGTGGTTTCTTGATATGTGGTACCATGGGGTGTGGCGGTGGTAGGGGAACAGTAAGGAAAACAAGTGGAACAGGGAAGAAAGGCAGCCAGTAAAGGGGGTGTTACTGTGTCAGTGAACCCATTGAGTATCTGGAGCTTAATCCTGCAGGATTAAGTCTCATTGTAGAATATGTGACTCAGAGTCACCTCCACTTCCCAATAATACCCAGGTAGGAGCTGGAGTCTTTTTTTTCTTTTTTTTTAATTGTACTTTAGGTTCTGGGATTCATGTGCAGATCATGCAGGATTGTTGCATAGGTACCTACATGGCAATGTGGTTTGCTGCCTTCACCCTCCTATCACCTATATTTGGCATTTCTCCGTATATTATCTCTCCCCAACCTCCCCACCCCCACTGTCCCTCTCCTAGTCACCCCCCAACAGATCCCAGTGTGATGCTCCCCTCCCTGTGTCCATGTGTTCTCATTGTTCAACACCCACCTATGAGTGAGAACATTCAGTGTTTGGTTTTCAGTTCTGTGTCAGTTTGCTGAGAATGACAGTTTCCAGATTCATCCATGTCCCTGTAAAGGACACAAACTCATCGTTTTTTTATGGCTGCATAGTATTCCATGGTGTATATGTGCCACATTTTCCTTGTCCAGTCTATCATCAATGGGCATTTGGTTTGTTCCAAGTGTTTGCTATTGTAAATAGTGCCACAATGAACATATGTGTACATGTGTCTTTATAGTAGAATGATTTATAATCCTTTGGGTATATACCCAGTAATGGGATTGCTGGGTCAAATGGAATTTCTATTTCCAGATCCTTGAGAAATCACACACTGTCTTTCACAAGGAGCTGGAGTTTTATACTTACTAATAATGATCCTCAGTTAGCAGTGCCCTTTGGGGAAGGAACAGAAAAAGCCTCAGAAAGGAAGTCCTGCATTACAGTAAAAGGCAGCCTCTGTTCTAGCATGTTCTGAGGTCCTCCTCTCCAAAATGCCCTGTTAGCTGTAACATTCTATCTCCAAGTTACAGGATTCTGTAGAAATGTATGGACTCCATTTTGGGGAAAGCGTTTTGTTTAAAATTTGTTTTATAGATTGGAAGATTTTGGGATTAATTAAATTCAAAGAATCTCTATTTATGTTCTTAAAAAGACTCCCATTTAGTTGGATTTTATTTAAATAAACTAGTATAGGAACTGTCTGGTTAGTCTCATCATACAACCCAGTAGGAAGAGGTAGTTCCACAATGCACAGATGGTTGAGTAAGTCCTGACATGAAGGAGAGTTTGATTTTGTTCTCCTAATTTTATTCTTCTTACCTTTCTCCATAATCAACACAGGCTGGCTTCATTTCGGTTTGCAAGTTTATCTCCAAATCCCAGTGGCTTACCACAACAAAGCGTTATTTTTCAGTCATATCATATATCCATGGTAGCACCATAAACATCTCTGCTCCATACTGTCATTCAAGGACCCAGGCTGACAGAGAGTTCATCCTCTCATAGCCACACCCCATGCAAGAGGCAGCCTCTTTTGTCACTGCAGCAAGGGAAAAACTTACGAAGAATCACATGAGTTTTCACTGTCTCGACTCAGTCATGACAAATCATGTCTGCCCACCTTGGCCAAAATGACTTACATTGCAAAACCTAGCTACAAGGGGGATGGGGAATGTCGGGTGCAAAGAGAATATTGATGAGCATTATTGTTTCAGCCATACCTACCAAATAGAAAAGATCTCACAAGATCCTCCAGGCCGAAGATTTTCCAATTGTGCATGCCAGGAGCTCTTTCGCTCTCAGCATTCAATAGGGATGGCTGAAGGTGAAAGAGTTATTCTGCCCCCTCCCACATGTTAACCAGAAAAGCTTTTCTTCACTATTTTCCCCATATGGTGTTCCTCATACAATTTTGATTGAAGAAAGGATTTTGTTGTTTTTTAAAAAAATACATTTGGACTATGACAAATGTAGTCCAACATTTTTCATTTTGAAGGTAAGAAAAATCAAGTCCCAGTGAAAAAAATGTTTTAAGGTCATGCAGCTGGTTAGCAGAAAACCTTGTATCAGAACCTGCTAGGACATCCTCTACCATGACATTATGCCTCTGTGATCTCCTCAGTGTTGGGAAACCCTGTTTCTAAAAAGTTTGTCAGGAGTATCTGCAAAAACTTAAGCCCAGAGTGATTTGAAGAAAGAAAAAAAATGAAAGAAGCAAGCAATCAAGAGAGAGAGGCACATGGTGGGAGGGAAGAAGCTTTGGCAAAGTGAAAAATGGGGTAAAGAAGGAGTCAGAGAGAACTGTAGGAGGCGTGAAGAGGCTGTGAGCCCAAATGAGAGAGCCACGCTGTCTAGACTCCAGATGTGAGTACATGGCTTCAGTGAGTTCCACGCTGGACTCTGTAAACACTTTCCCCAGATGTCATGGCTGAGCTACAGATCCTTGGATGGGTGACAGAATTGGCTGTTGTTCTGTTCAGTGTGTGACTGGTCATGCCGCAGGCTGCTCTGAGCTTACAACACCAGATAACGAGACTGCCTTGTAATCAGTCTTGGAAGACCTTGAAGGAGTGAGGCACAGCAGAGTCCTCTTGAGTGCCTCCAGAGACCAGTCGGTAGTGCTGTTTCTCAGGTGTAGCCACCCACCCAAATGAAGATTAACCTGACCCCAAAAAGGCAACATGCTAGAAGCCGCGTAAATAAAATAGAACTAGGCTGCTGTTTGCTAGCAGCAGAATTTCAGGTAAATTGCCTTATCTTTTTGGGACCCTGTTTCCTCTGAGGGATTTAATCAAATGGTCTCTAAGTTCTGCTTGAACACTGACACTATATAATCCTATAAAATGACGCCATGAAGAAAGGATAAACAAGTCATGTCTCTTCCAAGCTTTTATGATAGAACATGAAAAAGCAAAACATTTTGCTTTGTCAAACAAGCTTGGTAAATACTTGGATTTGTTGTCTACAAGTCAGCAGCCTCTGGAACCTGGCAATGAGTTGAATGCATGAGAGCTAAGATGGAACAGCTCTGAGGATACAGAAGAGTTCTAGAAAAAAGGGAAACTATCAAAGGGCTAGCGATAGACAGTAATTCAGAAATAAACAGAATTTATGTTTCTCACTTAGTCTCCCATTCATTCATTAAACCAGTACTTAATATGGGCTGTATGCTACCGCCTAGGGATTTAATGGCAAGGGAAATAGGTCAGTCTTCATTCTCATAAGGCTCACAGTATAACAGTGAATGCAGACAATTAAACAAAGCTAAAGGGAGTGTGACAAGGACGATCATGGGGATGAGGTGTAGGGGATGGGGATGCGGAAGGTTTGAATGACCAAGATCCTGGAAGAAGTACATTTTAAGTTGCATCCCATCGGAAAGGTGAGAAAGGGTAAATCGAAGAGCTAGAGAAGAAAACCTCTCGGCAACCCCTTGAGACACGTTGAGTAAACTGAAAGCAGTGCATGGAGCAGGCTATTACTTCTCTGAGCCTCAGCTTTCTTACCTGGAGAATGAAACAATCATAGGTTGCACAGAGGATTGTTGTTAACATGAAATGAGATGGTACCTACTACAGAGCCTACCATGTAGGAGGTACCCAAGGAATGATAGCAAATTATCATATTATGGTTTGGGGCTTAGAAAGAACAACACAGAAGTCAACACGTCGCCCAAGTTTTTAGCTTTTTCACTTGGTTAAATGCTGTTGTCATTCACTCATTTAAGGAATATAGGAAGAAAAGGCAGATGAGGAAGAGAGGAAAGTCAGTGAGATAATAAATTCAATTCCGGATGTATTGAGTGGAAGGCAAATGTGCAAGCAGCAGATGGAGTGTGCCATGAGTGGCTTAATATATACATCCAGAGTAAAGGAGAGAGATCTGGGTGGAAGGTGTCAACACATATATGTCAAGCTGACTGTAAGGGGCACAAAAATAGCGCCTTCCATGTCTCCTTCGGTGTCACATTTTGTCCTTTCGAAAAACTTTTTTTCTTTGATCCACATTTCTATCAAACTCATAGCTGTCAACCAGTAAATTATTAGCTGAATTGGAAACATTAAGAAAACTAAATATTTTAAGACCCTAAGAAACAGCACCAATGAACAGGTTTTTAAAACCTGACAGTCAAATGAAGTTGAACTATTGGGCCAACTAGGCTACGCCACACAGATAGCCACAGGCTCCTAAGGCATATGTGTGTGTGTGTATGCCTTAGGACATGTGCATATATATATGGATGTGTGTATATGCATATATATATATATATATGTATAGTACCTTCCATTTATATGTGTATGCATGCATATATATATATGTATGTATGCATGTCCTAAGGCATACACACACACATATATATGCATGTCCTAAGGCACACACACACACACGCACGCACGCACACACACATACATATATGCAAAAGGTAGTAGATTAATAGGAGCCATCAGACCAGATCTGCTGAAGTAAAGACTTTAGATTTTTCCTGACATTTCTTCCTATCCAATAAATCAAATTAGCTACAAAACATCATCAGTGTAGCAGATCTGCCTGCCTCTTCTGTTTTTCATTTCAAATTAATGTCAGATAAAATAATGCCTTCCTAAGCATTTTCCAGATCAAAAACACACACATGAGAAAATTGGCATTTTTAAGAGGAAGAAAACAACTTTATTTAACATAAAACTTATTGAAAAATTTAAAGGCTGCCAACTGGGCAGGAATTAAGGTGAGGTCTCTGAAAACTCTCTCTGCTCATCAACAGGAAGGAACAGCAGGAGGTCTGGCGTCTGTTCCCTAGACGTTTTCCATGTGAAGTCCTTGTTTTGTAAGGCTATAGACTGTCCCAGATACTATCTCTTTCCCTCCCATCAAGTCTAAAGCTACCAGGCGTCGTTTCTGGAATTATATTCTCATTGTACCAGGGCTTCTTTTCTGCTATTTTCTATGCTCTTAGACTTCCTGAAATCCCAAATTCTGGTTTACAATTTAACTCCATATAACCATTGAGCTCTCTGTCATAGGTGCTGGGAAGGTAGTGGCAAGAGAAAGCTCAGGCTTAAGAGCAAAGAAAAAAAAAAATATATATATATATATATACATATATATATATATGCACACACACATATGTGTATATATACAGACACACAAACACATATATGTGTGTGTATATATGTATACACATATATATACATGTATGTACATACATATTTTTTCTTTTTTCAAATGTAAATGGGAGAGATGAGAGAGCCTCTGAAGAATATTTAATTAATGTGCTAAAATGTAACCCAGCACTCTATCTAGGACAACTCTCCCACTGCTCACAATGTAACCCTTATATTGAAGCTGCTGCTGCCATTTCTGCTTTAAAAAACAGGAGAGTTTGTGTTCGAAAGGGGAAAGTGTGTGGCATCCCTCTCCCGACTCTCTCTCTTGCTTCTGCTTTGGCCATGGGATGTACCTGCTCCCACTTTGCCTTCCACCATGAGTAAAAGCTACCTGAAGCCTCCCCAGAAGTTGAGCAGACATGGTCCCCATGCTTGTATAGCCTACAGAACTGTAAGCCAGTTAAACCTCTTTTCTTTATAAATTACCCAGGCTTATGTATTTCTTTATAGCAATGCAAGAACAGCCCAATTCGCTGGTTCTGTCTTTAATGCCAGTTTGAAATAAGGCAAATTATGATCAGTACATTAAAGTTTAATTCTCCTCTTTAAAAAAAATGCTGAGCCAGATGTTTCTATATTCTGGCATCATTTTATTCATATCTCTGTTTTAGCAATTCTCTACTTCAATTGTCTTACGTTAAGGCCACTGTAACAAAATACCAGTCCAATCCAGAGTGAATGAGGCCAACACAGAAAATCTATATGAAAAAGAGACAACAGAAGCAAATAAAAAAATTAGAACTTGTGATCATAGAATATCTAAAAGAGATAAGAAAATGATGGTTAAAGAGAAAATATAATGGAGAAAAAGTGGATTTATAAACTAAGTAGAACTACTAGTCATTGAAATAAAAATCAATGGGCAGTATAAAGGGCAGAAAAATACATAATTACAGAGAGAATTAGTGAAGTGGATGATAGACATGAGGAAATTACACAGAATACTATAGTTAACAATGATAATAATAAACAGAAAAGCATGTTCAAAAGACACAGATGATAGAATAAGAATGACTAAAATACGAAGAATAGGTTTTCCAGAAAAAGTAGTCAGAAAAAAAATGGAGCAAATTCATTATTCAAAACATTGATAGTTGATTTTTTTTCAACATTGAAAAACATCATGAGTTCTCAAAGAAGCACACTGAGAAAGGCTAAAAAACAATTCTGCATTTAGACAATAATAAAACTAAAGAAACCAAAATTTTAAGAAATTTTAAAAGCAATCAGAGAAATGTGGCAGACCCCTTATAATAAACACAAAATTTCAACAAAGAAATCAAAAGGCAGAATGAGATTTATCAAAAACTGAGGAAAATAACTATAAACTTAAATTTCAGTACCAGCCAAACTATTATAAAAAGTAAAAAAAAAATAATTGAAAAATAAATTGAGGTAATTTATCATTAACAAACTGTTGTTATAAAAACCACAGATATATAAATATCAGTTTGAGAAAAGTTCAAATGAAAGGAAGCAATGAAATCAAGAACCTAAAGTGTTCAAAGAAACTAAGAGAAAAACTAAGGAAGCATTGGTTCTAAATAGTCATAATAATTAACATAAATAATTTTGATATGGTGCAAATAAAGCTCAAAAATAGTAATTATGAAATGGAAAATGAATGGCTAAAAGCATGCTACATGTCATTGTTTTTGTAGGAGTATTAGAGATAACCACTGTTAAAAATGCTGTAAGAAAATTGAAATAGAATAAACATGCATAATTTCATCACATACAAAAAGAGTGAAAGGAAGGAAGGAAAGAAATACAGTTTAGTTAATCCAATAAAATGCACAGGAGTAAAGCAAATGAAAATATTTAAGCATTCCAACTATACAGTAGTCTCAATAATATTAAATAGACTTAAATTGGTTGTTGTTTTGGCCAGTGACTAAAATATAGAATAAAATCCAGTTATATGCTGTCTATGAGGCACTTAGGATATAAGTACACAAATGGTTTGAAAGTTAAAGGATAAAAAAAATACATCTGAGAAAATATTGTCAAAAATAAAGCTTGTTTACCCATGTTAATAGCAGATAAAAAAAGTCTCTAAAAAAAAAAATCTCATTAGGGAAAAGAGAATCATTACATAATGATAGAAAAAAATTTGTAAGATTTTTGTGGCAAATGTAAGTTCTTTTGGCACATAGCAGTCTACCTTTACATAACTCAAAAATTAATAGAATTGTAATGAGAAGGTAAAATGAAAAGTGAAAATTGTTGACTCAAATTCACAAAAACCAAATCAAGAAGCAAATAAAACTTGAAATTTCTAAAAATAATAAAAAAGGCTGAGCATGGCGGCTCATGCCTGTAACCCAAACACTTTGGAAGGCTGAGGTAGGAGAATCACTTGAGGCCAGGAGTTTGAGACCAGCCCAGGCAACATACAAAACATCTTCTCCCCCCCACAAAAAAATAAGAAAAACTTAGCCTCATAATGGTGCATACTATAGTCCCAGATTCTGGAGAGGCTGAGGTGGGATGATTGCTTGAGCCCAGGAATTCGATGCTGCAGGGGACTATGATTGTGCCACTACACTCCAGCCTGGGTGACAGAGTAAGCTCTTCTAACAAAATTTTTTTTAAAAAAGGATAAAAGTAAGAATGTACAAGATATGAACACCAAAGTAGTAAGCTAGATTAAATGGACATATACTGAACTCCATAATCACCAATACTGTACCATCTTATCCACCACCCCTTGAGCAGTTTTCAAGTATTCATGTACTAGGTCACAAAAGACTCAACAAATAAAAAATTATGTAAAAGAGACCATGTTTTCGGATTATGCCAAAAAATTGGTATTAAACTATGAAAGATAGCCATAAGGTTACATATTTGAACATTTATAAATTTTATTTGTAAAAAATTCTTGGGTCAAAGAAGATATAATAGAACTTGCACAGTATCTAGAATGGAATGTGAAATACCACATAGCAAAACTCTGTAATGCTGCTAATAAATTATTGGCATGTAAATGTATGGCTGACCTGTATAGATTTATGTAAATGAGTTCCAGTGCCTTCTGGCTTTATGATGGTGCCACAGCAGGGGATCAGGTGGAGTTAGGAGGATGATGCTCGTGGGTTTATTTTCCTGGCATCCACTCCAAGTGGTTGCCTCCAGATGGCTATGTCCTGCTAAGTTTATTCTGAGTTCTAGTAACTGCACCCTTCCCTCATCTCTGGGCCTGGAGGTGAACTACGCAGCTGTGACCAGCCCTGAGTTACTGTGCTATCTCTGGTAGTGCCCCTATACTCACATCTTTCTAAGCTGTCATCTTATACATAAACCCTCCTCAAATTATACTGTTTTGAGAGTGCCATCTGTTTTCTGTTGAGACCTAATTTACAAGACCTGTGCTATCTTGGAGAAAAGGATAAAAATGGTGTCACTTTTCTGGTCTTAATACAATCCGGATGTTGGTATGGTTGGGATGTGGCAGAGGTGCAGTTGCTTCCTTTCTTTCCCAGGACACACTTATAGTTTCTTTAAAGACTCCCTGTCCCAGAGGTTTCACACCACAACCGTGGCCATGATCAATCAAGGATCCCTCCTTCGGGTCACCATTTGACTACCTTTGACTCCCCGCTCAGACTCTGTGCTTCTGATAGATGGACAACTCCTCTGCCCTTCAGAGGAGAGAGAAAGAATAGAAGGGAACATAATCAGATGGATGAAGAGGGTCATTTCAATGGAGTGTGAAAGATTTTATTTTTATATTTTTTAAAAGATCTTTATCAAGATTTTAAAATACTAGCATTAATAGTAACATGCATTGAATTTGGATGGAGAGCATAGAGATGTCACTTTATTTTAAGTATATTTGCAAATATTTACTACTTAGGAAAATGATAATTTTTGAAAAGAGGTAAGGGACGAGGTATATGACTCTTTCAAACAGGATCTAGAACACCAGTATTGCGCATCTTTCTGTGGCATCCTATCCCCCACTCCATCACACGTCCACTGCTTCCATCTTGCCGATTTCAGAGCGCAGTATTTCTGACCTTTGCATCCCAAGGATCCCTTACCAGTTTGCCAAATGGGTTCTTTCCAAGTTCTT